GATCAATATTAATAGAAATCATTATTTTTCATTATATTTGTCTTCGAAGCTTATTGTACCAAAGCGTGAAGATATTTCGGACCAATTCAAACTAAAATTTCTAGTTTAAAGCAATAATAAGACTAGATATGAATTTTGTGCAGTCTAGGTCTAGAAAAAGTAGACACAAATGGCACCATTTTAAACTGCAGAGATTACGTGGGGCGCACCATAAGTTTCCGGAATGAATAAGAAAAAAATACTATAATTGGTCAGAAATTAATTTATTGTTTCTCAAAATATTCTCCGTTAGCTCTAATGCATTTTTTCATACGAATGAACCAATTTTGAAAACGTTTATGCCACTCCACAGCCTCTTCAGATGATGAAAATAGTTGACGGCGTAACTGGTTCTTAATTTTTGGAAATAAAAGTCACAAGGTGCCAGGTCGAGAATGTACGCGGGATGGATCGTAAGGTCAACGTTGTTCACCTTCAAAAATTCAATTGTCTGTCTAGCCGTGTGAGAACTGGCATTATCGTGGTGCAAGATGATGCGGCGTTTAAGATTATTTTTACGGAGTTTGTCAATAACTTCCGGCAAACAAATGGTCGTGTACCAATCACTATTCACGGTACAACGATTCTCCAAAGCAACAGTAGCCATGTGTCCAGTTTAATTAAAAAAGAAGCAATCATTCGCTTAGAAGCACTTTGCACGCGCGCCACTTTGGTTGGTTTCGGCTCATCTCGAAAGACCCATACGCTCGATTGCTGCTTTGTTTTTGGCTCGTAACTATAAATCCATGTTTAGTCACCTGTTACTATGTCCTACACCAAATTTAACGCCCCTTCGTTGAATCTGGTAAGCATAGCATTGCACCAAGTGACGCGATTCGTTTTTTGAGCCTCAGTCAAATTGTGTGGGATCCACCGAGAGCACAGCTTTTTCACATCCAAATGTTTGTATATTATTGATTGTATTTGACTCATGCCTATACCTAAGGATGCCCTTGGTGGATGTGTTTTGATCATACGGGGCACAGCATCGATGTTTTTGTTGTTCACAGCAGTGGACGCTGTTTAAATTCTGCAAACCGGCTATAAATAGTCGTCTTGCATGGTGCTTCATGACCAAAAGCAGTTTAAAGTCGAGCGCAGCTCCGCTGAGCTGTTAAATTACATTTAAAGTCGTAGAAAATCATACTACGAAAATTTTCACGAGTTAAATCCATGGTGATGTAGACAACCAATTTCTAAATTGACGCCACAATGTAAAAACAAGTGACAGTCAGATGAAATAAACTGTATTCTACAGCCAAAGAGTTTCATTTTCAACTGTTGTAATTTTTAATTTGTCAAAAACGTAAGTGTTAGTTTTAAACTTTAGTTAAACATAGCTATGTTTTAGTGCGTGTTGTGTTTACTTCTAAATATTTGTGGCAATTACATCGCTTGTAAAGGCTTGATAAGATATAATCTAATTAGTAATATTGTACACGGACGTTGGTAAACCTAGTAAATAAATAAATAAAAAGAGGAACAACCGTGAGAAGACCACGACCGCTCGTCAAGAGTGCTACGAAACATAAAAACACAAACTCAAGAACAGTTCCATCACTTTCTTTTTATTTGAAAAGTGATTTTGGCATTTACTTTAACCCTATCTAAAAATGAGACAACAGTCAAAATAGTGGATACATTATTAGAAAATATTTTCGATATGATGTCTGTGTATAATCTCAAACCCTTACTTTAACTTTTTTTTATAATATCAAGTGACGGGACGAACAAGTCGTGCACCTTATGATACGCTACACGCCTGTCCATAACAGTTGCAGTGCCACTCAAGGCTTTAAATCGCAAAGATTTGAGGGGCACTACCACTGCGCCCGTCACCCTGAGAAATAAGTTGACAAGTCCCATGTGACTGTAATTTCACCAGCACCCTTACCCTTCAAACCGGAACACAGTAAAGCTGACATTACAGCTTGGCGGCAGAAATAAGTGAGGTGGCAGTACTACCTTGGACGAACTCTTTCACAAGGAGCTCTACTGCTTCTCAACTAGACGTGGTGGGTGTTATAGAGCGATTATGCGATATACATAGTAAAATAACAGGTAGCATTGCAACCAATGTTTAAGTTATACCCTTGTTTAGGCAACCAATGTTTACTTAAACATTGGTTGTTATGCTGCCTCTTATTTTACTATATATATCGCATAATCGCTCTATAACAAAATCAGTACGGGCTGGACGTAATCATTTATCAACGAAAACACTCGTGCCATAGATAAAAGTGACCCGATCACTTTCTATCATACATCACCTCTGTCGCTGATAATCCTATCATCAATCAATCAGAGCAAATCTATCTAATTTCACAAACGAAAATCAATAGATAACGTTAATATTTTGTTCATAACAACGTGATTGATTTAAGTAAAATGTGTTCACTTGAAGTCATGTGAAATATATTACATAACATGATAATAATAAGTGTAATCGTAATTTGGCGGCAAGGAAATGTATAATATTACGTAAGTAATCCCATTGTCGTTTCTACAACAGGTGTTACCCCAAATCATCTTCTCCATAGCCTCAAATTAGTAGATCTTAAAGCGGTTACGATTTTTAACAGCGATACAAACGCTAGCTATGATGCAGTGGCTAATCGTCTACCTTTACATACACTCGAGGCTTTAAGCAGCGATGCAAACGCCTTTAAATCGCAAGTGTAGCGATGCAATGCAAATGCAAAAAGTAGCCGTGAGTAAGCCCCTCCTAAAGAAACCCTCAATATCCACACACCTTGCAAAAATCATTTACTACATGTATAATATGCAGATAGAAGAAGACGAACAAGGCTCTCATCAGAATACGCTCTCAACATAGATATACACCATACTGCATTTACTTGTTTTCAGTCCGTAAATCATCGTGTTAGAGTGAATACCTCGTATGTGATTAGTATGTAATTTTTCAGGACGAAGATAAAAATGTGGTGTAAAATGTAGTAAACGCAATAATGTTTGTAGTAACCATTTTAATTAGTTAAATTATACCTCTTTGAGATACTATATTACTTTAATAATATACTCGTATTTGAGCAAGAAGTTCATAAGTTCTTCTTCAACAAAAATCAGTAAAAAATAACTATGTGAAAACGCGTATGCGAGCTTTTCACTCTAAGGCGACGAAATGTAGTTAAAACAGCCAACAGGCTGAGAAAAGAAAAACATCAAAGTGTGAGATGACCTCATCTATTGCCTGTCTTAAACAGGACTGTCCTACGAGTGCCAGAACCATGGAATTCATTTTGGAGTACTCGGAACAGTCCCGCAAAATTTTATTGGACCTACGGGAATCGAACCCGGGATCTCCTCACCCAGCGCCCACAGTGTAAAAAACCGTTTGGCCACCGAGGCCGTCGATAAAGTAGATAATATTCATATACGCACCGTATATGTACTTAATAATATTATATGTGTTACGACCTTATGCCTACACATCTGGACAGAATGTCGACTTTACTTTTTGAACATTGGCTGGTGGGGATTTATTAGATTTTTTCCACAAATCCCCACTAACGTTAGTACGTTTAATACGCAATGAAGTGTTCTACTTCTTATAATTATTATACACAAAGAAAAAATCCTTCGATCTACAAGGACTTCATCTTGGTATTAATAATTAAATAAAGTAGTGGAGAAACTTGCCAAAAAACAAATGAATATCGTGGTAGTTAAATATCATGATACTCAATAAAAATCAATGTTCTATTTCTTAACTTAACTTCACTTTCATTATAATATTGACGCATCAAAGTTGAATTTTCAATTTAACTCATCGATTTCATGAGAACACAATCAATTTATGTGTCATGACATAATCGACGTATAACACTAAAACGTCATTGGAAATGTAATTGCCCACATAAATCTTATTAACAGATTAGAATTCTTTATGGAGAGAAACCAACTCTGACAAGAAAACACGAATGAATCATGGATGACTTCCTATGTCAATCTTCTGAGTGACATATGAACCGTGGACCGTTAAGTTCATAGACCTTTTAATAGTGCAAGTGACATTAAACTGGAAATCAATATCGTCCCTGCATTATCGACACTGCTTGAAAAGCAAAGAGTCGGCAAGTGACTGCAAGTGTCTTCACAGCTGTGATCGATCAGGCTTAGTTGGCACACTTTATTATTGCTGTATTAAGGTCGATTTTTAATATTTTATTAGTTTACTAAGAGCAGATCGCCTTTATAAAGTGCTTGGATTATGTTTTACGTTTATTTTTTAATGTTTTATAATCAAAATTAAATCTCACTTGATCAGCGCTTTGTTTAGGAGCTGATTTTGTTACGGAGTGAATTCATTTCTGTTAACTATCTAAAAGACTAAATTATTAATTCGAATTCGTCTTAGGTGTCTGGAAGAGGAATTAATGGAATCAATTTTACTTGCATTACATGTAGAAAATAGTGATTGAAACAGAATAAAAATGTTCCAGGAGTTTTTCTTTATTATGTAATTAAACAAAAGGGGAAATAAAGTAAGTTATGACTACAAATTAATAATAATGTATCGCATAACCACGAATTTCCTTTAATGGATGTATTTACTAGAGCAACGGAACTCACAGAACACTCAGACCAATACACGTTTTAAAAATGTTTTAGAACCGGGGCCTCTTCACAGCAAAACGTTGGGCCACCAAGCTTGTCGATGACGTATAATTGGTTCACAAAGTGAAGCTTTGCACAAATAGGACGAGAAATAAACAAACAACGTTAAGGTATTTTAATTTCCGCCGACAAATAAACTCAATAAAAATACGTCGTGGTCGATAAAGGGAACGATAGGAAGCGTATTAGAAACCCGATACTTCACAAGAGATTACAAATATAATCCAACCCGTCCACAGCCTATCAAAAGTTGATAAAATATTTTTCATTTATTATCTAATCTACGCCAGCCTAAGTTTGAATTGTTTTCGTTAACTAGCCAGTCTTGAACGGATCTTGCTACGTAAATATTGAATTAAAAACAATGGAAAAAAGATTAATGAGATTCAACCCTAAATCTTGCCGTGTGACGAGAAATGAAACTGCAACGAAATCTGACGGTGAGTAATTTTATTTGTATTTTATTTTTTCTTAATCCTTTTAAAAAATGTCTGTATTAGTATCACACGAGTTTTATTTAATTTTTGTGATTTAGGACTTTTTCTGATCGAAGCGACACAACGTTTCATATAATTTGCTTTTAATTAATAAAAAAATTAGTCAACTTAAGCACGTATTGGATTTATTGGAACAAGTCAACAAACGATAAACAAATAACTGGAAAAAGACAATGTCCATAGAAAATCAAACATTAGACCTCACGTATGAAAAATCTTTAGCTATATAAACATAATATATAGGGGAAAGGTGTTTCAGATGATTCCCTTAAGGAAGAATGGTGGTAGTTTAAAAGATAAGATATTCAGCCTAAAGCATATGTAAAAGCGTAGAATTACAGATTAATTAAATTTATCTATCTCACTAATGTAATCTAGGTATAAGAAACACGGTACGGAACTTCGAAAACAAATAATCCTAATTAATTAATATCTTATAGGTACCTAAGGCTGGGCGATATTGTTTTTGGCATTGACAAAACATCTTGTTTCAATAACCCATATATCCTCGTCTGCATATCTTTAATGTACTTGACGAGCTCGATTTCCTGTTTAACACATCTGATGAATACATATTTTTTTCAACTTAATATTTCATTGAACCAACAGACCCTTTATTTTTAACTTTAGCCCGTCTTTTACATAACGCGTATATACTGCGACCTATTTACTTGCCAAACTATGTGGCATCCTACTTTTCACACCTCTAGTTCTTTAGATCATAGTCCTCCGACCACCCACCACGATTCGTTTTTCTTTTATAATTACGCGGCCAGGTCTAAAACAAGAAAAAGCATTTATATTTGTTATCAATTGAGATCAATCATGTAAACGAAATCCAGTCTTCTACTATTTTATTCGTATTGCAAATTATTAAATTAAGAGATTTCAGTACTCAGAAAAACATACGAATTGATAATAGTACATTAATAATATATACAGTACAAGATGATCCCCACGATTCATCTCTTACACCAAAACCTAAATCATTTTGCCCCAATTTACTTATTTTTATTTTTTGTTCGGCAAACTAATCTGTATACCATCTACTGTTACCATGCTATTAAAAAAGTAAATAGAGCATTATACAAAGCCACCAACACAAAAATCTTAGCAATTGGTTGCTTAGAATGGAAGTTGCCTTAGAATGGAAGTTGTTGAAGTGGAAGTTGAAGAAGCTTATAATCAACTTTATCTTAGATCAAACTCACACAATTTTTATCCTTTTCCACAAAAATGAACTCGTCACTCACATCGCTATTACGAATTGACAGATAAGAGGACACATTGAGGCCTACATTTTACTGTAGAAAATATTTAGATGACGTTACTAGTTTCGCTACAATTGAAAAAGATCATCTTACCTCCAAGGATCATCTCGTACACCTTTCCCCTAAATTATAAAGCAACACTTCACTAAGTCGCCTAAAAGAAAGTTGTAAACAAGAATAATTATGCGTTCACCAAAATTAAAGATTTCCGTTCCCTTATTGGAAAAAAACAAAAAAAACTTTTTTTTTTAATTGATACGTAGAGCTCGTTTCTAAAGTTCCATAATGTTAGCGACCCCATCTACCAACACCAGCCCTACACCTATTGCAGGCTCTTAAACAGTATAGTTAAATCCGTCATCCTGCCAGTAGATGGCGTTGTTTTGTAAATAATATCGGTGACAACTAGGTTTCGTTGTTTATGATTGTTATTAATAATATCTCGACTAATATAGTAAATATATAATAATTGTGTCAATAATGTGTAACTATAATAATAATTGTAACGATAATAGTAACTATAATAATTGTAAAATACTGACACTGTTTACTTTAGAGAAATGATTGATTTGATTGTCTATACATATAAGAGGTGCTCTGCCTTTAGTTGATGAATATTTTTCTCAGTTTGCGTTTTTCAAATAGAATCCGTTACGTTTTTCATTTCCGTCACTCTTATAATACTAGTCAAACTAGGAAACAGTAGATACGGTTTATCCATGTCTAATTGTCTATTCGTGAGTTCATCATTCTGTCCATCTGCCCGTCTATCACTTGTTAATTAATTCCGTGTAAATACGAAATTCTCGGAACATTCGTGGAAAAACAGGTAAATCAGTTAATAATAAAATTTTCCAGAACATTCAAGTTGTTACCCCGTTGTTACCCCGAAACTCCCGTACCCAAGTATTAACAAATATCCCTTTTTCACGGTTCGTCACTTGAAGAGCACTTAAGCCGAGCTTGAAGCGTTTAGATAATATTTTTCAATAGAAATGACGATTTAATTTTGTATATGAAAGAAACATTTTTGAAACATAATGCCCATAATTTACCAAAGCTGAAAGAAAATGGAATGAGTTTCAACAATTAATGAAATTTCGTTATTTTGACATATTTTTCTCTTTGTCTCCAGCTCCATTTAATTCTCTAATGCACAAATTGTTGTTCTCTATGTAACTAACATTTACAAAAATCTACTAAACCCTTCTCAGACTAGATGGTGTTCCTCAATTCATAAGGTAACTTCTGAACTACTAAGGTAGCTTACAGACATTAATTGTTAATCAACTTAGCATAGTGCTAGTGACTTGTTTATTGTAATCAATATCTTTTTGAATTATAATAATATAGATAACGACAACGACATTCCTTTTAGAACAACCTATAGAACTCTTATATTGAATTAAAATAGCTATAATATACCAAGTGAACACAGATACTTCATTTAATCAACATTTCATATATATTACATTACATTTTAGCAAAAAAAAACTGCATATTTGATTTCCATCTCACTTAACGGAAAATAACGATAAGGTCGACGATGAAGCTTGCACGCTCAAATAATGCCTATTCACTCCGCCTTCAAAAGGTCCAAGTTATACAAGTCATACCGCAGTAGGTTACTGTTTTGATAAAAATGTCTAAAGTGATTTTGTGTATTTTTAGCAGAATATTTCTTAGCGATTTCGACGAGTCATTACCCATTTTAGTAGAAGTGACTTGTGATTCTTTAAGTTCTACGAATTAAAATTTTAAAGTGTCTTTCTACTCTTCAATACGAACAAGTTTTACAATGGGAGCCCCTTTGAAATAGCTATAAATTAATCAATTGTTCCATACTAAATGTTCACGACCCAAAATTTAAGGAACACTGACGCCGGCTTTTTTTACGTGATTTCAGATGGAACCCAAGGCAAATTAAGCCTGTGCTAACGAGCAGCATTGCCCCCTAAAAATTTCACATAATTGTCTTTTAACGCTTTCATGGATAGTACTTAAATAATACTACACACAAAAATATCAGAACTTTTCGTTCTGCTTATAGTGATTGAATATAATATGTACATCGTTTGTAAATTATTGAATTTTGTCAGTGCGTTGTTGATACTTCCCTATCCTTCAAAGAACCCATGTACATCAAAATGTACATAATATGTGAAGTGATTCAGACCCGGACAATATTATTCCTATGATCACGTAAACTCCCAGTGTACATTATAATGAAAATATTGCATTCAAATTTAGCGCTATGTGTTCTATATAATCATAAGGTATCCAGAAAAATACGTTTTTCATACAAAACTGAGGGCATACTTGCTTGTGTATGACACGTGTTTAGTACATTTCAATAAACATAGTAGGGCGTTTAACGCTTTTCCCATTGTATCTTGCTGGGTCTTAGATGACTATAGAAAAGTAATAGGCGGCAACTACAGAGAACGCACTCACTAATTGCTCTGTAAAGCTCGTAGTTGGTTTTTTAGCCTTACCCGTACGAAATATTGTACTATCATATTCTTATGTTTAATTTTATGATAAACGCTGTCAGGCTCAACTCACATGACAAACGCTGTTAGGCGCAGAGTCGAAGCGTCGTGTCGCGTCCTGTTTTTCAACTACAACGCATCACTATCATAGATTTCGCGAAGGCGCACATCGTCGCGCGTCGACGCGCAATTCCATATATGTATGACACAAATTTGTATCTTAATAATGGGAAAATAGCGATGAATATGCTATAGGCGAAAAACATGAAGCGTCGCGACACTTCGACTCTGCGCCATTGTGACTTGAGCCTTATTGTCTATGAACGAGTTAAGGGTCACCCTACACATAGATGTTTGCAATTGGGCTAACTTTACTATTCCAGCTGAACAAATATCAAAATTACGTGCATCGCAATCGCCCATCGCCATCTCCCTGCAACGTTGCCCGACCTGGACATCACTCGAACCGCTTCGCTTCAACGGATACTGGGACAACAAAGGCAACGGAGTGTTGCTTAACAACGGCCAAACTGGTGAGTATCTCGTTAAGACTTCTAAAGCCGTTTTAACAAAAAAAAAACAGATCGCTTCAACAAACAAATCGAAAGCCAATAAAAAACATGATAATTAACTTTTAATGCACGATCGATGTTACGATAACAAATTCCACGTACCTAGATAACTATAAATATATATATGGTGCCAATGAATTAGGTGGGTACGATTTTAGATGTCTCAGATTTCATTAATTAGAAGGATCAATCTAAAATACAACTCAAAAAGTATTTTTAAAACACTTTAATATTTTACTTATGAAGCAAATTTATAATTCCTGTGTATTAACGTCAGTAATTTACTGACAATAAGTTCACTTTGTTATATCCTTAAGTGATGTCATGTCGTTCACTTTCTTTTTCATTTTAATGGCGAAGTGGCCAGTGATAATAAAACGTTACAAAAGATAACATTGAAGAGGAATCAATGTATAAAACACAAAGTAGTTATTGTATGTATGGGTGTGTTTAAACTTGTTATCTTATAGTTTTCGAAGAACTATCCCAGATTTATATTACTTTTTTTACAATCTTCATTTGTTTATAGAGGGTGTCACAAATGCCCCCATCTACATACTTCTTATCTCCTTAACTAATTTAGCACCCAATTCCCTGGATGAACTGTTTCACGAGGAGCTCTACTGCTACATGGTGATATTTACATAATCTCGTAACACTACACAACACATTTCTAAGTTCTTTGTTGTCAGTTTCTAGATTTGTTGTTCACATTTACACTTAATTTGAAATATAATCTTCTATTTTTGGTTTTTAATAAAGAGGTATTCCAATTTCTATTTATTAATATTTCGTTATCCTGACCACAAAAGCAAAGATATTGCTAGGAAATAAAGTTTTGTCTTGTTTTAATGATAAAATCATTTTTTTTTATTGTTTATTCACAAGTAAAATAGTTTACATAAAATAAAACAAAAAACCACAAAAAGATTTATGTATCGCTGCTATCACATGTTGTCAGGCGTCTAAGAAAAAAATAATATTGTAAGGGGATCGTGCGTACGGCAAATAAAATCCAGAAGATTTGTAGATACTGGAGGTTTATTGATGTAGCAGCAACTTAGAAGATACAAGTACAGTGAGACGATCTACAGCTACGAAGCTACGAAACTGTTCCACAAGTGGAAGCAGCTAACGTAGAGAGGCGGTGGCTACGATAGTGTCCCACAAGTGGAAGCAGAAAACGTAGAGGGGTTACGACTATGCGCGCAGCTACGACCGATACTACACCCTTCGGTGCAATCGATTTACTTTCCCGATTGGTCCACTTTCACTATTCGTCTTCTTTCCCGATCGGTCCACTTGTCCAAATGGTCCACTTTCCTGATTCGTCTATTTCTCATTTCGTCTACTTTCACGATCGGTCCACTTGTTTTACCCGATTCGTCAATTTTTCATTTCGTCTACTTTCCCGATCGGTCCACCTGTCCCAATAGTCCACCTTGCAAGTTAATAAAATGTAAAGTAAGTTAATGAAATTTTACAAAAAAAATTTTCAAAGGCGGTTTGTAATTGCATAATTGCAGATTGTCATGGAGTACATTTTTTATATTTTTGATAACGATGGCCGCTTTACGTTAACCATGATTTGAAAAAACAAAATCAATTAGACAGTTTGTTTTTAACGAACTTGAAAAAAAGGAGGAACTTCACAATTCGACTGTTTTTTTATGTATGTTTCGCGATAACTCAACGGCATTTGGGAACCGATTTTGAGGATTTTTTTGTTGGAAAGAAGATGCCTCAGTAGTGGTGAATTTAAATGTGAAGAAAATATTCCATCTCTAAGTGTGGCAAACTAGGCGTGAATCCGCATTCGCGCACTTCCTGGTAACCGATTTCATTAAAAGTTGGCAAATAGATGTAATTCCACGAACTTTTGAGGTCGGTTTTTTTAGTACTCTGTACTGAGATTATCTGAGAAGACGCATCATTAAAGTAGACCTATCGGGAAAGTAAACCGATCGGTAAAGGAGACCGATCGGGAAAGTAGACCAAATGGGAAAGTAGACCAAACAGGAAAGTAGATGAAATGGGAAATAGACGAATCGGAAAAACAAGTGGACCGATCGAGAAAGTAGACGAATAGTGAAAGTGGACTGATTGGGAAAATAGACCAATTGTGCCGAAGGGATGGTACGAAAACTGTCCCACAGGTGGAAGCAGATTATGTAGAAGCAAGTTATCACGTTCGAAAGGAATCCCACACACAACTGGAAGCTAATTCGGAAGCGAGGTATCAAAGCAGCTGAGCACCCTAACAGAATACACATATTCAAAATTCCATGTCCGATGATATTATTTGCAGTGAACACTTTGATAGCGCGTTTTAATTCCATCACGACGCCATCTAGCGGTGTGAATCCGAACTAAATAGGTGGTCGCACTTATTATAATAGTTTGGTTTTATAATTGTGTTATAATATCTATAAAATATTTACGCGCAAATTACGCTACTTACACTTATAACCATTAAATTTCATAATTTGACAAATACATTGATAAAGAACTGTTTAAAATGTTTCTGGTTTACCTTTTTACCAGAAGTCAGAAGTTTATCGAAAACGTCGCTTTGCAATTTATTAAGCATAATAGTAACATGCATCTCCAAGAACGCCTTTCATAATATGTTAATGTATGAGGAAGAACATGCCTTGTATAATAATTTAGATTTCGCAGTTTATGAATTCTTGTCGTTTGTTTTGACATGGCGATTTTATCTATTTCATCACACATTATTATTTGTATATTTTTCTATGTATGTCTAAGATTCCACAATAAGTACCGAAACAAGTTGTTCCGATCATTTCTATATTTATTATTAACTGTTGTTGGCACAATAGATTTCAGTAGTTGTGATTTTAGTAAACTTAATTAGAAAATGATAACCCGGAAATCAAAATCATGTTATAGTATAATCGAGCCAATTTTCATTTTCAGTATTAAATGCTCTAGATTAAAAAAGTTTGATTGATCAAAAACTATTAATGCACTTTTGAAGCTGGTATGCTAAACGTCATTTCCGTATGTCCTTATAGAAAGTTGAATTTGTAAATCCGGGGAAACTACAGACCACATAAATACTAGTAATAGGTTTCCATAGTCTATGGGCGGGGCCCGCGTTACCTAGCTCAAGAACTAATATGAGTGTCAATAGTGCGTCAGTCGTTGTTCAAATGTGATACAAGATTATTTTGTGGAAAAAATAGAAATATACCGTGTCGTGCCATTATATCCTGACACGTAAGAAGCCAAATCTAAAAAATACTCCGGGAGTCATTCCATTTCATCGGTAACTACTAAAACTCTGTATTTCCTAATATTTTGATCAATACAATACCAATATTTCGAAACAAAAATATTTTCTTGCAACCAATTAATAACAATATACATTGGTTGCTAACCATTGACGCCGTCAAAAGAACAATTCGAATGACGCTCGATGAATTGCTTGCACTAGCGACGTATTACACTTGGTACTGGGTCCGCGTGTTGTAATCAAATTATCGATATGTAGAAACTCTGTATTTAGAGACCCTGTTTTGGTTAAGTTCAATTTTTTTAGTACAGCGGTACCAATGTGTAAACATAAATTGTTTACCGGTGTTTAAAAACTAACAATTTTGATTACTTAAATGTTTGGTACCAACTCTCGCAATAGTGTTTTTTTTTTAATTTTCAATTTAAGTAAAAACGATGTATTATTGGAAAAAAAAGGAAATATAAATAGATGAGGTACAGTATCGACAATTTTACAATGCACGTAAGCTCGTGGAGTATCCAACGAAGACTTTATGAGATTGGAGATTTTCTTTCCCTTGTCTACATGATTACTATCGTATATATAGTAGTAGGGATACTTGCTTATTATACGTTACCTTCATCCGCTTGAGTTATTAGTTTTATCACAGCCATGATTACATTTGCAGTTTTTGAATTGATTTTTTTAGTTTCCCGCCGGATCCTTTTTAAAGGAAAATAGGGCTGAAGCAACAGGCAAAGCTGGGTAAAAGCTGGGTACCTACTAAATGTAGCACCATTTGCTATATGCATTTCATGACATCACATTAAATACATATGAATAAGAACTGAAAAATTCATTAAGAAATAATTTGGTTTATCAGGTAATATATGACATGAAACTCAGTGTCGCCTTCACAATTTATAGACCACATCGAAATATGAAAACGTTTTTGAAGCATTGTCAGTTATTTTTCGCACAGTTCTCATGAAACAAATGATTCCTTCAGAAATAAGTAACTTCATTTTCTTCACAAGCTCGTCGACGCTATAGGTGTTGTCATGTTCAGTCAGTTCAGAATGAGGTAATTCTTGAACAAATATATCATATTTCAGAGAGAATAAAGATTTTTATAATGACTGTGTCTTAATATTCAACCCTCCCAGTGATCGGATTGACTTGAAATCTAATAGGTTAATGAAAGTACGATGACAGTATAATAAATCAATAATACTGTGATTGTAGCATGTAGCTACGCAGGCGTGTGCGTGTGCGTGTACGTAACTAATATTAATTAATATTTGCGTGTAGTTAAACATGCGTATTTGGTAACAAATGTGCACGTGTGAAAGTCAGCTGCGTCAGTTCTCGAAGAAATTGCTTTATAAACTGCCTCCGTGGCCGAACGGTTACCATGCCGAACTGCCACGCAGAGGTCTCGGGTTCGATTCCCGGGCCGGGAGAAATATTTGTATGGCCTACATATATTTCTCTCACGAGTTTGGGTGTAATTTGTGGTTGTCTATGTGTGTGTCCATGGCACCCGCTATACAGGGTTTCCCTAGTGCGGGGCTATATTGAGTGTGTGCGTTATTAAAAAATATGCCGTTTCCATATACTCCGTGGTTAACCCTAATTATAGCAAGAATAAAGCAATGTTTGGTTCAATATTCCGCTAGTTACGAAACATAATGTCGATATCATTTAAGTGGTGACACTTAAATGATATCGACAGATAGGGATGTGAATCCCTATCTGTAGATTGTCACCTTTTTGCTTTTGTTCCAAGAAGTTTATGTTCATAAGATTGTTAGCTTTTATGTGACTAGTAATAATAAAATCTTATTAGATCCAAATAAGTTTAAACTTTTTTTACCAAATGTTTTTTATTATTGTCTATTTTCGTTTGATAATTTTTAACCTATCTAAATTATGTCATCTTAGTACTAATGTAAGATTACGTTTTCAAATGTGTGCATGTGGCGACACGGGTTTTGATACAAATGTTGCTTGATTGGGGGAAACCTTAACAATGTAGTATTTTAGCACTTAAAAATACAAGGGGTATATATATATGTATTAAACAATTTAGGGTCCCGGTTTATTTTTTCTTCTAGCCTTTATTTAGGATTCTACGCCTGTGACGTTCACCTCGCTGCTATGTCGGTGCCATTGGTGTCTGCTACATTAATGCGCAAACATCGGTCTTGCTTCAACCATCATTTATCTGTCATCTTTGTCTTTTTGTTTATAGACTTCACAAAGAGGGATAATAGTTTGAATACAAATATTTTACACGGTCACTAGTGACAAGTGTTCTTGTAAATCTGTTTTATTTGCCAAGTAAATGTACTAAAATGGTGTCTATGAAAAACATTTAGTACTATCTAAACAACCTTAGAAACAAAAAAATATAAAACTTTCTAATACAATATATTTGTTACATTAACACGTAAAATGTGGCTGTTACATAAATCAGAGTACATGTGTCGTTAAAAAACAGATAAGATAGTGTCATAGATATCAAAACTATGGTATTCAGCAGCGTGTCTAAAAATTTAACCGAAAAATATTAAGGATTAAAAAAATTTCAGATAATGTTGTCAGGGCGATAATACAGAAAATATAAGAATTATTAGTCGAATAAAGAAATGATTGAGACTGATTGACGTTTAATACGAAAACAAAAGCTTTTATAGTAGAAGGTAGACAAAAATGACCATGTCTAAAATTGTAATTTTCCTCCTGGAAATCGGTCGAAGCTGCAAATAAAATTGTCGTGAAAATAATCTTTCCACGATTTTTTGTCGGATATGTTTAAGTTTTATCTCTTTATTCAAGAAATTTTTTTCAAATTGAAATTTTTGAAATTTATTTCAAGAAAAATATCGTAGTAATTTTAAAAAGTGCTAAATAAAAATAAATACATATTCTTGTAATAAATATATAAAGTGCGTGATTGTATTCGTATATTCGTATCAACAAATCTTTTCGATCTCTCTGATCTTTTCAGAAACAAACAAACGAAATGAAAGCTAAATTTAAGAAATACAAGAAAAAGCAAAGATATCTATCTATCTTCTGTCTGATTTGTTGCGGATAATGGAACTCCCTGTAAACAACCTATTTCAACAATCTGATAAAATACACACGCAGGGCAACATACTTGCTGTTTTGAACTTTACTTAAGATAATAATAAAGCTGATACTAAATTGCCGGTAGACAAATTCTTGTGCAATTTTGCACTCTATTTGCGAGCACTGCAACTTGAAAATATTTGTATTACAACTTGTATAACTCGTTTAATGGTGATAGGAATTGCAGGGTACAACGCAAACGAAATTTAAGCGATACATTGATTCGAATTGTTGTCATAGTTAAGATTGTCAACTATAGAATCTCAAAAATCCAGTGAGTGGCGGATGTACTATCAGAGCGGTAGTAAATATCGCACACACTGGCTTTAACAGTATCATTAGTAAAAAATCATCACTTTTGGGGTTTTGATGAGATCGCTTGCGGAAATTTTCCTGCTTTTCGAGAAGACAATTGAAAACATTAATAATCACGTTATACTTAATCTAAAGTCAGCTAATTTTGCTTTCAATGGCTGTATGATCTGTCTGTATGACTATAGGACGTCCAAGCGGAGTCATTTTCTCTCTTCAGAAGTTTAGTCAATACTGCCCTCTCTTTTGTTCAAAAGAAAGTCGACCTAAATTTGAATTTCTGTCATTGTAATCAATCAGTGAGTCAGGAGGCCTGCTATGAGCTTATAAGCAGCTAGCCAAGTTTCAAGCAATTCACTTGACGTGGTAAAACTAACTTGCATAAATTCGTATCATTCGTATCATCACCTACACAAAGTTGAACGGGAATGGCATGACAGGATGATGAGTTTTACTTTTTAAACGTTAATTATTGTCTCTGGCTGGCTAGCTGACGTCTAACAAGAGCGAGATGGAACTACATACTAAATTATATGAAAAAAATAGACAAATGTACTACCCTGGGAGCGTTCAAGCACCATTGACCGATTGTGTTCAAAATGAGAATAATTATACTTTTTTTATTAATTTTATTATTAATCACTCTTATTGCGCTGTTTTGTAATATCGGCAACTTTCAATCATACTTTACAATTTGTCGTACGACAAAATTACATGTCATATCTAGTCATTATCATTGAAATGAATAAGGTGAGTTTGCAATTTGATAACATAATTGGAACGTATCTTGTATTCGTACATTTTCATTGATTGCATTAAAGTAAAATTAGGCACTACTCAAACATTATTTTATGTTTTCGCTAAGTCAATAAAATTATTAAAATTCTATTCAAAAATTGCAATAACATTCATGCCAATAATTTGTCAACAATACGTTAATGATTGGAAACTTGAACTAAAACGTTCAAAAAACGCTCAATAGTTAATTAATAGTATTTATTTATTGACAATCGGCTATATAGCCTAAAAGACAACAAATAATTATGAAACTGGAAATATATAAATAAAATAAAACTTAAACGAAATTTCTTAAAAATGTAACAAATCTAAAAAAAGTTAGTCACGTAGCAACTTTATTTTAATTGCTTATTTTGACAGATGAGACCGCCATTTGCCATATGACACGTCATGACACGATTTTACTATGAAAGAAAGGGTGAACGGATTTCGAATGGGGAACGTAAACTGCATGGACAGTAAATTGTTTTTGTGAGGTCCGAATTTGACAGGCAATCCAACTTACAGGCTTAAATAGGATTGCTCTAAGAGCTCATAGTAGGCCCCCTGGTCGTCTGTGGAGGTTCGACGTGATACTCCTCCTCCAGAGGCACAAGACTGAACCCCTGGACATCCTTTGTACTGACAGACCGTGCAACGACTGATCGGTTAGGTTATTCGGATCGTACTTGCTACATCTGCCATCTTTGAGTGGTGCAAGTATATTATACTCGTAAATTAAATTCAAACAATACAAAATTTTACTTGTCTGACCTTTTCTGACGTAGTCACTACGCAATATCTCCCTAACCCTCTATTACAGTGATGGTAATATATACATTTTTTGCCCTTAATTGCAGCATACTTCACATTCGACACTCCAAATCGTCCAAGACTCAGCGGCGGGCCTCTCTGCGGAGAATATGTCTTTGAGCAGATGCATTTCCATTGGTCGGTTGATGACTACACTGGGTGCGAGCACGTACTCGATGGACACGGGTAAGAAAATAAACCTTATGCGCATAAACACTTATGTTTCAGTGATGCCTATTACATTTCCGACGTGTATTATATATAAACTATAACTTGGCAAATAGATGTAATTCCACATACTTTTGAGGTCGGTTTTTTTAGTACTCTCTAAGTAAAGTCAAAAGTACCGAAGCCATAGGCCAAGGTGCAGCAGAGAGCTAAGCTCGAAGTGTCCTTACGCCACAGTACGCAGGTAGAACATGGAGGCTCTATTACGAGTACAAGTAATGCATACGTATATGCATTTACTATTTCTTATATCTTGAAGCTATTGAATTCTACAAAAGAACGAATTCCTGGGCATGTATTTGTGAAATACAAATACGCCTTTCAACTACTAGATTTTTTTTTAATAACATCAAATGGCGGGACGAACAAGTCGTGCACCTAATGGTCTATACTATGCTATACGCCTGTCCATAACAGTTACAGTGCCATTCAGAGCTTTAAATCGCAAAGATCTGAGGGGCACTACCACTGCGCCCGTCACCCTGAGACGTAAGTGAGTTGACAAGTCCCATGTGCCTGTAATTTCACCAGCACCCTTCCCCTCCAAAGGTATAGAGGTAGTACTACCCTGGACGAACTCTTTCACAAGGAGCTCTACTGCTATTACTCTACAATTCAAATACTGCCCAGCTGTGCGTACAATTTTTTAGAAATATTTACCACTAAATGAAATCAAACTTATTTTATTTCAGATATGCGGCAGAATGTCACTTGGTTCACTACAACCGCAAGTACCAGTCATTGGAAGCAGCGGTAGGTCACCCAGACGGACTCGCCGTAGTGGGTTTCCTCCTCGAAGCGGTAGACGCTCCCAACCCAAGATTCGACACGCTCGTCGAGGGTATACAGGGTATTAAGATGAGAGACCAGACTGTGCAGGTTACTCCTGGTAGGTGTAAAACAAACTTATTCTACAAGTCGATTATTATTAAGGGCATTATTTTAGAGTGTCACATTACGACGTGACTCGTAATAGACCGTCTTCTCTGTAGTGACAAAGGGATTTAATATAAATAGAAATCATTTATTGCAACGGCACGTTATAAAAAAATACATATAAAGTTATATAATTTATTATATATAGTTTATTTTGTGTTCGGACCTATGCTCTACCTAGGTGAAGTATGGGATACCCACGTGTCCTTCTGCTCCAACTGATAACAATTCTTATACAGTCATGATAATACACTTCACAATAAAATAAATTGTATTGTTATTATGGCACTCGTAGCACGAGAATAATTTTATGAGAAGTTCATAAAATTATTCTATTGATATTTTATTCATTTAAATTTTGGGAAAATTACTCATGTCATTTGCTTCTGGCGTTTAGACATGTTGGCAAATATGTTTACAAATTCTGGCAATTGAAGCACAAGGACCTGTAAGTGCCCCATGCTTCACCCACGTAGAGCGCTTAGATGAAGCACGAAGCTGGACTTGTCTGTACTTGCTTGGCTCTTATTAGAATACAAGAACACAAGATATTTGTTTGCTAAAAAATGTAAATGTTGAAAAATATTTTGAAAGACACTAGAATTTTTGATTAAAAATATGAAGAGGACTACAGCCGCAGACACCATCTCACCCGGGTCGGTGGGTTCGGTCATGGTTCGGTCTGTAGACCCCTTAATATCACGATAATACGACGAACTGTCAAAATTCTAGAAAGGGAAAGGTGGGCGAGTGTCGACCTTGAATTAATATTTTGGCATGGATAAGATTGAAACATGGTGACCATAAACAAGTATAATATCATTGCTTACAATACTTTTTGCCAAACCAGTTTTGGAAGCCAGGGACGAAGTACCAAACATCAGTCATTAACCAATATATTTCCACAGATTCTTTAGCATGGATGGAGCGCGATGATCTGTACGAAGGTACTTACGTAACCTACAAAGGTTCGCTCACAACGCCACCCTACACCGAATGCGTCACCTGGATAATTTACGAGAAGCCTGTACAGATTGGCACCGAACAGGTAAAAGAATATGATTAGGTTATACGCTGAATCCATGAAAATTGATAGCTTGCATTAATATAATCAAGGGCGTCTACGCTATAGTTAACCCATTAACGCCCAAATACAAATTAGCGTTAAAAATAGTAAAATTTTTTTATGAACCTTTACAAAATAGCCTAGTTATGAGAAAATTATGAAGAAAAAAAAGATTTTATTTTATTTTGTATGAAAAAAAATGCCGTCCTCAAATGGGGACAATGGGTTCAAGCGGTGTCAAAAAATTTGTAACAATATTTGTCGGTGCACAAAGACTTGACGCATTTTTTATATTGCCAACGCGCTTATTTGTGGCTCAACAGCTATTTTTGCACATCGTAACTGTTAAGCCAACTTCTGAGCGTAGTGATCAACACCAATGTTCTGTAGATTTAGCACCAAAGAAGCTGCTGGATGTAAACTTTGAGTATTTGTTTCTCCAATAGTGACGTGATGTAACCGTTTAACTGATGTAGCTGATCTAGCTTCGTATTATTGGTCAGGAGGTGTAAACGCCATGTATTAGCTAGTGCTAGGTGCAGCTTGTAGTGGAACAACACCACCAGTTTTTGCCTCGAATGGCAGTGCGATACAAAAAGATTGGTCAGCTTGATTTATCCTGCTGGTACGTTTTAAATCACGCAGGATACCCACGTCAGCTTTCTGTTTATTCACAGTGCTTTATCTTTTTACTTTCACCAGAGAAAGGACATTATCATAATCAGAGCTCATCGTGCAAATACTATTGTCAAGCCATGGAAAAAACAGAATTTGGTTGATTGGGTAAAATCGATAGTCAAAATTGGCACGGTTTTACTCTACATGTGTATTACAAATCTGGTCAAGTAGATATTTCTTAGTTTTTCCTTTGCAGACAGTTTCAGTTGTTCGATAACCAGTTTGCCGTAGATTATTAGATCTTGTTACATAAGAATAGTACTTCTACATTGGTGAGCGCCCTCAGTTCCAGGGGAAATGCCCCCTAAATCTATCTCCACATCATGGTCTCTGTCATCCATTACAGCTTCAATAGCTTTCTGAAGCCCATAGTAATAATTGTGGCTGCCAAATACCTGTTGTGTCATTATTTCGTTGAAAATTACTTATAGATGAAAAACTAATAAAATACCCCATAAGCGCCCAATGGCCCCAATTGGGGACACCGTTATATACCACCGTCTGAAGTTGTCAAAACACTATTTAACTCAATTATATAATTTTTATTTTATAGTATACGAATACATTTCAACAATATATGTAAAAAAAGAAATAAATTGTTGGTAATAACATACAGGAAAAACAACTAACTTTAGCGTTTCACGTGTGCGTAAGTTAACCCCATAAAAGGAACAGTCAAACCACTTTTATTTAATTCTAAACAATTTTTTTAAATAATAAAATTAAGATCCACTATTTTACTTTACATATACACTTTTGTAATGAGTATTAATAGTAATATAAAAAAATTACGGGTACTCAAAGTAGTGTCCTCGATTGGGCACGGCGGGCGCAAATGGGTTAATAAAATTATGGAAAAAAAAAAACAGTATAACAAATAAAAAATAAATTAAAGTAATACTGAATGTTCTTGTACATTACTGCCTGGATGTTTACTGTCTTAAAGCCAGCCTCTGTAACCAAAAACATACCATTTTGATCTCAGCTGTCCAGCTGTGTGTAGAGGACCTAAGCCAAAAGGTTCAAACGTCTTTCATCACGGTCTTCTTCCAGTTGCCTAAACAAGTAACAGATCTACAATTCTAACATATACCTCATTTGCATGTTTCATTTATATTTCAAGTCGCTCATTTATTTTCAGTAGTTGTTTTAATGTCCTAAGTAATGGTAAATAAACTACACTGACGTCTTAGGCAAAACCACGGAATTGCGTAATTCACGAACGATCTACATAGGTACCTATAGTATTGAACGAATGAACAATATCTGCACGTAAATTTTTCCAAATTTATAATACTGCAGTATTTTTTAAATATTTACCGCAAACGAAAGAAACAGTACCAAATATATTTCTTCGTACAAATATAAATTTGGCAGAAAATCAAGAAATATAAAAACCGTTTGTATGCGACAAGGAAACCTTTGCGACGTATCTGGATTTGATGTCGCAATTCGTAAAGTTAATCTTTACAGAATATCAAAACATGGTAAGCAATGAAATAATAGGTATACTATGTAAACGCAAAGGTTTGTCTTTATAACTTTTGCTTGCTTGCACGCAATACTTTTAAAATTTTCAACCCCTATTGAAAAAGAGCAAAAATAAATTTATCGTCATTAGTTGTGTGTGTTTTGAGTCGTTATCTCCCGATAAATAAAAGATTACGATGAAGACAGAGGTTTTTTAAACCTATAATAATCTAGGTGATTCAATTGTTAATTTAAAAAGTGCAACCGTCTATCTATCTCAGGTACTTACAGGGGCCCCCGCTTTTGGTTGGACTGGCAGTTCACACACTGAACCAACTAAACAATCTGGTTGATATTAAGTGCGCAGACCAGCGAATAGTCGCCCGATTGTTCTCTAAAAATGTTGCTAGTTAATAAGCTGATTTCGATGAGAGTAGTGAAGAGCGTAGTGAAAAATTCAAATGGACGGAGGGCAATCAAATTGTTCAGAAAAACGATCAAAAAGAGAAACACAGGTATTGCGTGCATCAGCAAACTAAAAATCGGTAGTTGTGCTCGCGTGGAAGCGCGCCGCCACACCGGTTTAGCAGTCTATATTATATATATATATATATATATATATATATTTCGCTAACAGATCAGTTTGAAGGCAATCGAGTGGCCCATCAAAGTTATTTATCGCCAATACCGAACCATTATAACGTGCACACTTTCATACATCTTCATACTAATTAAGGACATGGCTGAACTAGACCAATACAAACTCTGTAGTCTGCGGGGACTCTTATATTTACAATATCAAATTTTCACTCAACTAATATGACTAGATACCACAGAGGGTTAGGTACCTAACGTAAATCTTTATCTTCGTGCTATGTGCAGTATAAAAATCATGACATAAAAGTTACATTAAATATGTCAAAAAACCTCCACAGATTTTTTTTTATAATATCAAGTGACGGGACGAATGAATCGTGTGCCTGATGGTAAGCTCTCAGAGCTTTAAATCGCAAAGATCTGAGGGGCACTGCCACTGCGCCCGTCACCCTGAGACATAAGTTGACAAGTCCCAAGTGCATGTAATTTCACCAGCACCTTCCTTCAAAACCGGAACGCAGTATTGCTAACATTACTGCTTGGCGGCAGAAATAGGTAAGGTGGCAGTACTTCCTTGGACGAACTCTTTCACAACGAGGTTTTCTGCTGCTAATTAACAAATGGTTTACCATTTATTTGGTTGTTACCTTAAAAACCTATATTCTGTACCTACATTAATCACGACATATAACAATATATGCCCATGACTACAGAATTATAAATTGATACTGTGCCATTTTCGCCTCTGACTAACACACTATATCGATTACAAACACTTAATTGAAGAGGTATACTCCAGTACATAAGGCATCAATATACGAAATTAATTTCCCTATCCGGGAGCAATTTACTTTGTTGAAAGATACAATGGTGGGCAGATTAATTTCGATATTACAATGTAGAAATTAATTTATAGATGTTTACGAGAGCCGCCTTTTAAATCATGGTGTTCAAGAAATGCACAAAGAAAGGAAATAAGTACCATTTATTGTTTGCGACCATCAACAGGATGGTGGCTACATGACCAGTTAGCCACAAACGAGGTGATCATTTTTTTAAGTACTACGGGAGCGGATAACTTTAGACGATTTTGGCTCGCCTTGGGAGAGGGTCGACTTTCGTTAATAATAATCTTTATTTATCGAATAAATGAAATATTACAACATCGTGACGCTCTGACTTCCAAACTATTATGGTACTATATCTTGGAAGTCAAATTCTTCCCAATAAGCACAATCACAAGAGATTTTATATTGTACGACTTAAAGTGAGATTTAAATGTATGATAGTAATAACACTAAAAACAAAGCGAAATAATTAAAAAAGAAAATATAAAAAAAACGTAAATGTTGTTCAAAACCATGAGTACAAATTCATTTAGATTCGTCCATCCAATCCACTAAAATCAATATTTTACGAGCTCTTCATACAGGGTTTTTTTGATTTGTTGTCTTAGTTAATTAAGCACATTTTCAGTTAAATAAGCACAATTATATATTTATCACTTACAGGGAATAAGTTACAAGATGAAGTAAGATAAGAAAAAAAAGAATAAATACAGAACCGTTAAAACATAATATATCATTCAATAAAATGTACATATCAAAAGTGTATGCGGATCAAGCACGTTTTTGCCAATTACTGAAAATCAGGTTTTTTAGTGATTAAAAAATACCTTGATCCATAGACACTTTGATGTGTGTACTTACTTGTAGACAGTAATTTAGTAGCTTAGTAGCAGCAGAGCTCCTTGTGAAAGAATACGTCCAATACTGTCACCTTACCAATTTCTGCCGCCAAGCTGACATTACTGCGTTTCGGTTTTGAACGGTAAGGGTGCTGGTGAAATTATACGCAAATGGCACTTGTCAACTATGTCGCAGAGTGACGGGCGCAGTGGCAATGCCCCTCAGATCTTTGTGATTTATAGCTCTGAGTGGCACTGCAACTGTAATGGACAAGCGTGTCACTCACCAGCAGGTGCGTGACTGGTCCGTCCTGTCACTTTACTTACTATTATAAAAAAAAATCTGTTGAGGTTTTTTAACATATTTAATGTAATTTTTATGTCATGATTTTTATACTGCATATAGCACGAGGATAAAGATTAATGTTAGGTACGTAACTCTCTGTGGGTATCTATTCATATTAGTTGAGTGAAAATTTGATATTGTACGTATAAGAGTCATCGCAGACTACAGATTACCTATAATAAATAACATAACCGAAAAGACAATATGGCGGACGTTAGACATGACAACGTATCTGAGCGATCGGTTTTACTCGTTGCATATAAAAGACATTAACGGGTCCATTGCTGTAAAGAATATAAAAATATTATTTAAACATCAGAAAGGCAAAATAAAGAAATGGGTATTTAATACAAAGAAAAGTCCCGATTACGTACTCGAAATTATATAACAAATTTAACTCCACAATAGTTATTAGTTATGCAAGGGTGCGAAGTTGTTGTTGCTGCGAGTGCTCTTATTGAAACCTGAGCAAGCGGATTCTAAGATTGACGGATTCAAAAGACGTGAAGCAAGAGAACTTTGCTGCCGAGCGAAACACACAACTTTTCACCTCACTATAGCGAGAAAAATGTTAGATGAAAGAAAAACAATTGAACTATAACAAATCAGTTTTATTGATTCATACATCAAAAATTATATACACTCAGTTTTATTGTTTGTGAAATATAATAGTTTAATAAACAAAATTAATTATCGTTGTCAATTTAACGTCAACAAGAATAAGAATAAAATAAACCAAAGAATTTATATCACATTACATCATTATTACATCGAAAGAAAAAGTTAGGTGCACCACAGTTCGAATTTCAAAAACCTTAACAAAACGCTTTTGTGCGCAGATGTCAAATGAGAAAGAAAACCTTTCCGATCTAGCGAGGTAAAAAATATCTAGAAACGCATTCAACAGTCATGACAGTCTTTAAATCAACAAAAAATATAAAACATTTTATTTCCCTAAAAATAGATACATTAACATACACGCACACGCTCACGCTCACGCACACGCACACGCAGTGTTTCTTTTCATTTAATTTGTACAATAGAATTATAATACCTGTCTTGATAATAAGTTTTTTTACTGTGAAGGATCCATGAAGTATTTGCTTTCCCAGATACCCAAGTTCCCACTATACCGTACTAGTTTTGAAGTCAAGGCCACCAGGCGATGTACCTAAAACTTTTTTATTTAATTAGGAGACATGATAAATTTCTATAAAGATTTTTATATTACTAAATTACAAGTTACTACCTTAGATAATTCATTGTCCAGTAGGAACAAATTTGTTTCTGCAGTTTGCTTATCGGAAAATCTAAAGACAGTTTTTATGTAGTCCGTCTTTCCGATCTCATCAAATTCTTTCTTTCTTCCCACTGTACAAAATACGTTTTATGGCCAGTATAAATTCTCCTTTGTCCCAAGCAAACTGCCTTTGTTACGTCAATAAGTCTATTTTCCAAGTTCCACGGTAATGATAAGGGTAAAGCTATGTTCAATATAGTGTAGAAATGGAAGAATGGTTTGAATTCCAAAAATACATTTTTGTATAGGTTCCGAATTCTCAGAATATCATGAACAAAAAGGATTTTTTGACATCTATTTTATTTTATGTATTGATTGGTTCAGCAACAACTTATAATACTTAACTTAAACTTTACATACATTATTATAATCATACAAGACTAGTATGTGAGCCAATTACAGCCGAACACACCATTGTAATAATCACTTAAAAACAACATAATTAAAATAATAAACTATTTCTACATTTTTCTATTAAAATATATATTTAATTCCTATTGCTTACATTATATTTTTAGATTAGATAAAAATATACAAAAAATAAACATTTTAATGTCCAAAAAAATTCAACTTTATAACGGGTTAAACTGTCAAAATATATGTCAAGATCTGCACGACTCAAGCTATTATATTAATATACTGTATATTGAAAGCATCCTGGACGTCGGGGAATGGCTCATTAAATTTGTCCTGACTGGACACGTGAAAAGGTTTGCTAAGTTGCCTCCTTGAGTTCGGATGTGGAACAGTATATTACAACTCTCGATAATGCTTCCGGACAATCCATACTCCCCGCAGCAACAGCAACAATCTACGATTTAATCGGTAATTACGATTAAACACTTTTGATACTTTGCTTCAAAATTTATCTGCGAACTTAACTATCAAAATTTAAGTCATGTTATTTAGCTCGCGACACGACAATTAGTGTAATGAATTTTTCTTACCTATTGCAATTACCGTATTTTTTCTTTAGCTATGATTTATAATGTATCATATACCACATAATAAGTACAAACAATAAGTCATGGAAATAATGGAATACTTTTACAGAAATATGATATTTCCCATCTGCTAAGATGTTAAAAACCACAAGAAATAATATCAATTTCCAATTTCCGGTAATCATGATATTCTGATAGACCTGACATCTAACGTCCTGTGTTATGTAGTCTTTTCAGTTAAAGCTAGGTATATCATATTATAGATTTTTTTACATCTAATGAGGACTAATATTTTTGTGTTTATTTTCACGTATATCTAACCTTTAGGATAGACCACGTACTTCGTTCTGACTTGACCGTGCGTGACTAAGCGCGCGAGACGCGCCATAAAATTGACATAATATCTTTATTTGTCAATCGATGTAAATAAAACAAACACTAACTAAATGTTAGCCCAGATTATCTCATTACATCACTGAAAATGGCATTTAAATTGCGTTAGCTATTGATGGAGACTAGCGTGCACAAACGTACAGACAAATATTCTAAAAACACATGTTTAAAGTCGCACCCTCACCGACCAGCGCTCGCCTGTAATGTAACATTCAAGATTCGTTTTTGAGCATTACATTATAAACTGCCTCCCTCACCGACGAGCATTTGCTTGTAATGTAACATTCAAGTTTCGTTTTTGAGCATTACATTAGAAACTACCTCCTTCACCGACGAGCATTCGCCTGTAATGTAACATCCAAGATTCGATTAGGCTGCAATTCCACCAGAGATGTGCTAGGTAGCAAGGAGTGCGTGAGAGTGCCTCCGAGTGCGTGCGAGTGCCTTTGACTGCCTGCGAGTGCCTTGGAGTATCTGCGAGAGCCCGCGAGTACACGCGAGATCCCGCGAGTGCCTGCGAGTGCCTGCGAGTGCTTTGAGTACCTGCGAGTGCCTGCAAATGCCTTTGAGTATCAACGAGTGCCTTTAGGTGGAGTAAGAAGAACATACATTATTTTGAGTCAAATGTTTTGAACTCTAGGAATAATAAATGCCTTTGAATGTCTGCGAGTGCCTTTAGGTGGAGTAAGAAGAACATACGTTATTTTGAGTCAAATGTTTTGAACTCTAGGAATAATACATTGTGAAATGTGAACGGAATTATTATTAATAAGTTAATGTCGGATCTATAATTATTTTAAGTTTGCGTAATGCCTCCCTACTAAGTATACATATAAGAACGCCCAGCCATTAAATTCTTGTGAATCCAATTGCACAACAGAGTTGTAGTGCTTGTATCAACTCTTAAGGACGTGCGGTAAATATTGTTCTCGTAAGTCGAAAAGTATTATTATAGGTCATAGCGAAGGTAGTAAGGGGTAATACTATGTCCCTTTAGTATAACGACCGCGTGTAATATGTATGGTGCCGTTAAACTTGTTATATGACATGATATATCGGCATCATCATCAACCCATTTTAACGTCCCACTGCTGGGCACTGGTCTCCTTTCAGACAGGAGTTTGAAATCCATTTAATAAGACTGTTTTAATTATATTGGAAAGCATGTAATGTTCGATATCTCATAACATATCTCATAAATACCTTAGTCTAATATCAAATAAATCCTACGATTAGTTATACCGTAGAATCACCGTCGCGCGTTTCATTAATTAATGTAGTAAATAAACATAGGAAAAACGAAATATATTGCATTTTGCCGATCTACATTACTCCTTATACTCCTCAGATGGATCTTCTCCGGCAATTGGAAGGATCGAACAGTCAGCCTATTGAACGCAACGTGAGACCCACCCAGCGCCACCCACCTGGTCACTCCGTTATCTACGTAAAACAAGCCAAGGCGAAACTATGAGATAAACTAATGCATTATATTGCTACTGACAAGCCGATATTTCTTCATAAAATACTGTCAATTGCTTATTACGTTTGTAACATTTTATTATTTGTGAGCTATTATTATGTAAATACACGGGTCCAATACATAACATCTATTGTAAACAAATATGAATTTGGTGTTCTACTTATGTATGTATTTAAATTTTATATCCATATATGTACATGCTGAGTGCTGAGTGATTCTTAAAATCACTGTTAGAGAAAATTAATATTGATTTATTATCGTAACTACGAATTGTTTTGAAAGATTGAGTTGGATTATTAATTTTATAATATAATTAATTTAGAAACCTTTCTTTTTAATAAAATTGAATTAGTTCAGAATTATTAATGTGATAACATTTATTGTACTTAATACTTTTTAGTGCTTACAAAATCGTATACGAAAAAGGGATTCATAAAAATAGTTTTTGACATGGATTTTTACTTCTCGACCAGACTTCATAGATTAATTTACGAAATGAAACAGGCAACACACAAATCCTAGACAGAAGGACAGTAGGGTTGAAACTTCAGCGGATATTCATATCCGATATCATATCGATATTGTTCAGTAGACCTAGCAGTAGAGCTCCTTGTGAAAGAGTTCGTCCAAGAAAGTACTGTCACCTTACCTATTTCTACCGCCAAGCAGTAATTTCAGCATTACAGTGTTCCAGTTTTGAAGGGTAAGGGTGCTGGTGAAATTACAGGCACACGGGATTTCAACTTATGTCTCAGGGTGGCCGGGCGCAGTGGCAGTGCTTCTCAGTACTTTGTGATTTAGACTCTTGTGGACAGGCGTGTAGCTTACCATCAGACGCACGACTTGCTCGTCCCGTCACTTGATATTATAATAAAATAAAATTGTTTATTCAGTAACATAATGTACAGAGAAAACTAAAGACTACTTATGCGATTTAATGTAAAAATAACACATGTACCTGAACTAGGAAATTCCTGTATTTCAGTTAAAAAGTACTACTAATTATAAACGTGGATACTATTAATATTATAAATACTTTTTAGGAGAATCTTATGAAATAAAATTAAACAATTAAACAATAAATTGTCAATCAAAAAAAATGTACACTTAAACAAGACAACATTTATTTTACGATAATAATTAAATACTCTGTATCCTCATAGGACATATTTTGAAGAGCTTCTTGGATAATTTTCTTTACCTTAAAGCAACAGAAATTACAAATGGAATATTTGGCGTTTAATTTATTGTACAAAAATGGTCCAAGAAACACAAAAATCTTGAAATAAAAGTATGTTTTGATGATATAATTTTGGGGCAGACAATATCTTTTCGTCTTTTATTAGTGTTTTCAGTAATATATGGGAGCAATACGTGCTGTTTGAGGACTGTGGACTTAATAAATAATTGCCTTACAGTTAATACTTTACATGACTTATACAGAAGGTCAGTGGGGTAACGGAAAGGGCGGTAGGTAGAAACCTTTAGGACAGCTCGCTGGGCTCTTTCAATGATTAGTAAAGTAGTTTTAGCTATACCACCCCATGATGTAATGCAGTAAGTAATTAATGATTGGCATAATGCATAATAAACTTGCCTGATTATTTTAAAATCAGCAGAAACGCGTAGTTTTGTAAACATAAACATTAACTTACGGAGTCGGGCGCTTAGTGCTTCGATATGGTGTTTAAAGTATAGGTTATCATCTAATATAACATCTAAATACTTTATCTTCTTAGTAATAGGAATGTCTGGACATTTACACAGGTTGTTAGTAGGCTCAAAACAATGGTGAGCATATAGTTTAGGGTTTAATGAATTTGATTTCCACATATGGAATTGCATAAAACAAGTTTTATCCGTATTTAGTGTTAGCAAATGATGTTGGAGCCAGTTATTTACTATATTGAATCCACGCTGTGCATAGTCGTATACTACCTCCTTGTCAGAGTTTGCAGAAAAGAGTAGAACAGTATCATCAGCATAGGATATGATCTTTCCACCTTGTAAATCTAGGTTACAAAGGTCATTAATGTAAATCAGAAAAAGTGTTGGTCCTAAAATACTTCGTTGAGGAATTCCAAATGAAGTGCACTTCAGATCAGAACTGTGAATATCACCTATTTTAACACATTGGGATCGATCCTCCAGGTAGTTTTCGAGTAATTTAAGCTGTATGCCCCTTATACCAAGCGATTCAAGCTTCTGTAACAGCACAGGGATGTAAACTGTATTAAAAACCTTCGCTAGGTCTAGAAAAATACCCACAGTTTTGTTACCCTTGTCTAATTCCCTTGCTACAAAATTCGTAAGGTGATGCACGGCCTCAGATGTCGATAATTTAAATCTAAAACCGCACTGTGTTTTAGATAATATGGAATGTCTCTCCAAATACAAGACAAGTCTATTGTTAATAAGTTTTCTAATATTTTAGATATTACTGGCAGTAACGAAATAGGTCTATAATTAGTTATTTGTTCTTGGTTACCAGATTTATGTACCGGGACCACAACAGCTTTTTTTAAACACGTGGGGAATATTTCTTTTGTTAAACATTTTTGCAAAAAAAATTTTTTGTAAGCGGTGAAAGTAGAATGTGCCTGAATGGTTTTAGTATTTTGTTAGATATGTTATCACAACCAGTAGCATTATCGCTTTTTAAGCTTACAATTATTCTTTCAACCTCACTTTCATCCGTATCTAATATTACAAATGATCCCAGAGACTTACTACAGATGGATTGAGAGCAACGTGGTTGAGTAAGCGGAAAACTTTGGATTTTTTGTGCCAGATTTTTACCTGCATTAACGAAAAATTCATTTGCTTTGTTAACAGCAATACGATCAGGTGATTGGCTTTTTAATAATCCTGAAGATGATTTATGCTGTTTCGATATGTAGGTTACCTTTTTTATATATTTCCAAACCTTTTTACTGTCTGTACCAGCTTTTTCCAATTCTTTTTTATCATAACAGCTTTTAACTTTTTTAAGTAGGTCGTTACAAAAGTTCCTATATCTTTTGTATGATATTTGTAGAATTAAATTAGCTGGATTACTTTTTGCCTTCATATGTAGTTTATCCCTATGACGCATACAGCGAATAAGTCCTGGGGTAATCCAAGGTTTGATATTGTAATTTTTACTATTTAATCGCATGACCTTGCTATTACTTAATATTAATTGCTGTACATTATTTACTAAGTAAGAAATACAATAATCCGCGTCATCAGAATTATAAACTGGGTTAAAGTCAATGTTGCATAAATCTTCTTCAAGTTTATTTATATTAATTTTAGAAATTATTTGCGTGCGAGTTGAATTAAGCAATTTACAATTTAAGGTTAGTAGGGCAGCTTTATGATCGGTTATTGTAGAGTTAGTAACTAATGTTATTGATTTAAAAATAGATTTAAGCATAATATGGTCTAAGCAAGAGCCGCTTTGATGTGTAGGGAGAGTGTGGGCGGGTAGTAATCCATGAAAAGAGCATAGGTTTAGGTATTCTTGCGCACAGGAATCGATGCTATGTGGGAGAATGTTTATGTTTATGTCTCCTATTAATACTACATTTTTAAAAGTTGATAAAAGTTATAACATATCATTAAGTGAGTCAGTAAACATTTTGGTATTTCTAAAAGAGGGGGGTCTGTACAATGCTAATATTGCAATGTCTGTTCCAATTTTGATTAGGAGCCGATTGCAGTCCAACATACTTGGTTCTTCAACCGAGATATTTAAATTATTCCTAGTATAAACCACTATACCGTCGTTCTGGTTGAAATTTTCTTTAGAGCTGTATAAGCTATAGCCTGGCATGGGAGGTAGATTTCTACATTTATCTAACCAGCACTCTGTCAGAATTATGACAACACACCCAATGTTCATTCTATGCTGAAAAGTACTAAAAGCGTCAAATTTTTTGTAAATGCTGCGTATGTTTTGTGTTAGTATGGAAAGAGGATTGTTAAAGGGTAATAAATATTGTCTGCACATTTCAACTTCACAAGACTTTGACTCTGATACAGAGAAATTATCTAGATCGCGAACTAAACTATCACTCATAGTGTTTAATTAAATTAAGGTCTATTAAGTAAAATTAGTGAGTGACGCTCTTAGGCGCCTTCATAATAATCTATTGAATTAATGTACCTTTTTTCGGCAATTTTTCTCGCGGGACAATTAAAATCTCCTGTTTGGTGGTCGCAGGTCTTCTTGAAATGCAAGCATGTAGCACATTTAGGAGGTTCGGTCTCTTAGTGCAGTCCTTTATTGTGTGACCGGCGTCACCACAGTGGCCGCAGATGGTGGCCTCCTCCCGGCAGGTCTTGGCAGCATGACAATATTGCTGACATTTGAAGCACCTAGTAACTAGAGTAAAATCTCTTACAGGACACGACGACTATGTAGTTGACAAAGACTCTGTCGTTTGTTATTAGGGCGTTACGTATATGTGGAGCGATTTCAAATATGTAATTGCAGGACTCGGTGTTTTTCTTTCCAGACTTATGACTTAATTTAATATTATTTAAAAATTACTCAAGAGACATACCCTGCAGCTTGTCGGCTAAATTTTGTTGAAATATACAGTTCACTACTTCGGTTTCCTGCAAAGACGTTGGCACACCAATAATCACACTTCTGGGTTTGTGCTTATGTGGCTCGTCAACAGTAAGGCCGGAGGTTTTTAATTGGGCCACCTATTTCAGCTTTTCTCGGTCGTCTTTGGTGTCAGTGCTTATAATAACACCGCCGTTCTTAGTTTTGCGTAACCCTCTTACGTGCAGTTTCATTTCTTTAGGTCGGATAATTTTTTAAACCAGGTTTTTTGTTTCATCACTAGATTTCAATTTGTCAGTAGGATAAATTGCTACAGAGCTTATCTTATTAGGCTGAACAAAATTATTGGAGCTTTTTTTTACCATGTCTGCAAAAGAAACTGTACTTGAGAGTGGGTTTGTTGATTCTTCAATACGCTGCTTTAGGTCTTGAAGTCGCTGCGACAGGTCTTGATTGTCTTTAAGGGCTTTAAGGGATGAGTATGCTTGAACGGCTTTTTGTTTCAGGGACTGGTACTGTACTGCCATTTGAGACGTCCCATTTGCCACTTTTCGGCACAAAGTGCTAATTCTTAGCTTTTGGTCTGAATTTAGCTTGCGTTCGGTAGAAATAGCACATACCTCGTTCAAGCATTGTTCTATTGCACTCATCCAGTTCTGGATCTCAGGCGTGGATACCACATCTGGAGGATCCTCGTTCTGAAGGGACTCTGCGGGCGCAGGGGGTTGAGACGAGGGCGTTGGCGACGGGCTGCGGCGCATTAGTGCACTCCGATTAAAGGGACTGCCTTCCACTATTTGTTTTAATGTTTACAAGATGCATTGAACATTATTACTTCCAATAAATTACTCAACTCGAACACGTACTGTACTGATACAGATAATTTGCTTCCGCATAAAGTGGAGCTAGGTCACAATTATGTAAGTATTTAAAATATTATTTTAACCGATTACCTCGCGCGAAAAAAATGGAAACTTGATATTATAAAAATAAAATAGTTTACATTTCTTTATTTACAGAAAGAAGATCAAATCAAAGCTAAAACTTATTACAAAAAAAAGGTCAATCGACTAAATCTGCACTCACTAGGTACTTCTGCTGGACCCCGTACTGTTTCACCTCGATTTTTCTTTAAAAAAAAAGCTTTCCAACACTAGCTACAATGTAAATAAAAAATGCTAATTATGGCTACAAATTATCTCATTAATCCCCTTCAACCCTTTTCGACCTGGTGTAGAAGGGGTTACAAAATTAAATTACCGTTTTAAACTTCTGGCCACTGATTTGAAATAAGCTATTTTAAGTGTAAAATTCAGGTTAGAAACTTTTCTCAAATAAAACCTTACGGCTTTTAATTTTTTTTAATTCTCCCCAGTGGGGGACATGCGTAATGATATGAATGTATGTATACTTCTAAATTTTAAATTGAAACATGTTCATTTATTTCGTTTTCATCATGTTTTCATTAATTGTTTTGGTAATCACATTCCGTTTAGAAGCAAACATGGATACCAGTAAAAGTGAAGAAACTTTTAACGGACTTCAAAAAAAGGAATTGTGTGTGAATGTTACGTAATTACTCCGACATTGGTGAACAGATTCCGATGATTCTTTTTTGTTTGAAAAGGGGTGCCTCAGTACTTAGTTCCATTCAAATTTGAAGAAAATGTTCCACTTGTAAGGGTGGAAAATTGTTGATGAAATTGATTTATTGAATTTCACTCACTTTCAGTCAATCGATTTCAATAAAACATGGCAATTAGGTAGAAAACATCTAATTACGAAACATACGGAATCACATTTCATTGGTAATTAAATACTAAATATCATTGACTTACAAATAAATGGACAACGGGTCTAATACAAAAACCACGAAAAAAATGTCCCAAGTCAACCTATTCGAAATTTAAATTGTTATGTCATCGCAGTATCGCGCTGTCAGTAGAACAAATGAAGACTAAAGCGGAGTGTCGCGCTCTGTATACGATTTTAGCGCCTTACAAGTGCGGACACTTTTTAGCGCGGACACGACGTCCATATAATTGTAAGTCAATGCTAAATATGTAATTTTTCAGTTTCCGTCCATTATAGCAAAGCTCAAGTTAAACTAGTCGATTTGAAGTAAAACAATTGACGACACCCGTCCATTGTTTCGAATTCGGGTTGGCCAATCAGAGCGCAGTAGTGATTTGGCAGAATAGTTATCAAACAAATTTAATGACATTTCGTCTCTATTTCTGGTTATATACTCGATTACTAGAGTCATATTTATGTGGTCTGTGACTAGAATAAATTCACTCCCCGTGCTCCCAGCACAACCCAAAGCACCCAGACCAGAGCAAATTTAGTACAGCTCATTTCAAAATTTAGTTCAACCGAGAATCGAAACGTCGACCTGCAATCTAAAAGCAACCGTTCTCCCATCGATCTACTAAATGAATAACTGTATTTTTGTTGTATTTCAAAATCTCAGCCCTTGCGCACTCGGTTCTGCACGACTGCACACGGCGGGTAACCTTGTTTTCACTTTTATAAGCGCGTCCTTTTTCCTCATAATGAGCGCCTGGTGTGATTAGTGATATTTAGTAGGCTGCTATAGCGTTGGTATCTTAGATTTAGTATGACTGATGTGTCTGTAACGTAGTAACTATTAAGTAATCTGCGGCATGGTTTGATGCAACCAAAGCAATACCCTTAGATAGGGTTGACAGGTCTTAAAACCGAATAGCCGTATAGATCATCCAATTTTATAAAATAAAAGAAATCCTTAAATTCTAATAAACTAACAATAAAATTGAATAAATCAATATATTACTAACCTCTCGCCCGAATGACCACGTGGTTGGTCAAATATAGGCATGTCGCTTACCACCAGGCCCACGACTTTTTCGTCCCGTCACTTGGTATCATAAAAAAAACAATAAATGTTACTTTCTAAATATATTTTATGTAATTATAATATAATAAACTTACAGAAAATAGGATTAATCAGTTATTTGTTACAAAAATCGAAATCAATCCATCTATTCAAATCAAGACTACTCAATACACCCGCGATTGTCTCGAAAAACACTGCCGTATGCTCATACATACGCACATAAAAGATATTCATTACTGTATAAGGTGTTAGTCCAGTATCTGGCAACGGCGATGCAAACTCATCAATCGTAGACATTACTGACGTAGACCCGTTGCATTCAGCAGTTCGCATTTTTTCATCATAAAACTTATCCAACAACATTCCCATCAATAAATTCACTATACGATACTTCTCTTTCAATAACTCGTCGCCCTCGAATAATGGTTTCAGCAAAACTTTATTGTGAGATGTCTTCAGAACGTCGAAGTACGCCATTCTTTCATCAAATTCTTTTGCAATCATCGCCTCCCTCCAAGTGCCTATCGACAAATCCCATTGGTGTTCTGTCATTGCCGTGTAAGCCTCTTTCAATTTCTGAACTTCAGATTGATGATAAAAACATACAGGATTCTTTATCGTAAACAATTCTGCTTCTAAGAGGAAGTTTTTGTAAGGATACTGCTCTGCCTTTACTGTAGTAACGTCAACAATAATATCTCTAAGACAGTGCACAATCATAGTTTTTGCCGCTTTTCTGTCAATTCTATTTTGAAGCTTATCAATTTTTCGAGTATTTTTTTTAACCTTTTCTACTGAGTCACCCACTAAATCAACTAGTAACTTGTCTGCTAATGTGTCAAACATACAGATGTTCAGAATGGCCAACTCCCAGGTTTCATTATAAATACCTGGTCTATCGGAAATGAAAGTAAAGTACTTTTCCTTCTGCTGACCGGGTGAAATCACGTCTTCATTTTTACAAAAAAAAAACTTTTGCTCATATGCATCTTCTGGTATAAATGGTACAGGTCTCTTGACTCTTTTCCAACAGTACCTTAAACTTACAGTACCTACGTTTTGAAGAAAAAGTTTGCTTCTAGCCATTTTTCGTACAGGTGCATTGAAATAGTATGTCCATGACCCACATGATTCATGCCAAGTTTCTTGTTGCATCTTTATAATGTGAGGTACATTCTGATCAGTAATTTTTTTGCAGACAATTGTGTTGTTAACTCTTAGAGCATAGATTCCACTAAGAGGATCCCTAGGAAAATCATTTGGCTCCGTAATGATAATTGGTGGTAATGGAGGAATTTTCGGAGGTGGAGTTCGAGGACGTTTACCAATAATTACTAATTCGCTTATGTCAGGTCTGAAAAAACATAAATATAAATACAAATTACAGACTGAAGTATAACTTACTATTTTGATATGCGCACCTGTAAGGGTCAATAGTCTTTATAGCAGTCCTAAGTTCTGCTTCTCTCTTTTTTCTATACTTGTAAAAATCAGCATTAATTTTGTCAGGTGTTACACGCTGACGAACTCCAGTCAGTCCCTTTTCAGTCACTTGAATATAATCAGGGACCCTAATGTGGTCAATAACACGAGGACGCCTCTGTTCAGCAGCAGTCTTTACTGCATCATACACAGGTGCGCACTCGCACGGTTGGCTCAACCTATGGGCTTTTTCCCACGAACTACTAGTGAATGGTGTTTTTAAGGATAATTGAGCATGCTCTAATGCAGTTTTCCACTCTTTTTTTTCATTAGTCTTTTCCAACAGGTTCATGACTAAATCTACTGGAGGTTTATTGATAAAATTGCCCAATCCGGTTGTTTCTTCCTTTCGTATCTTAATCCATTCTTCCCAAAGAATAAGCTCATTGTCCGGTGTCAAAGCATATAATTTATACTTATCATCTTTAGGATCTAACGTCGCCATTTTTTTGTTTATTTATTTTCCTCCTTTCAAATGTTGAGTTAAAAAAGTAGTAAAAAAAGTAAATTCAATGACAAATAGTAATAAAATAATGTTATTAATACCAAAACCTCTTATTATTTCCTTTATGGCGGCCATTAAACTTGTGCCAGTGTCAGTTTTTTTAATCCTCTTGACATGCTCAAATTATGTAGAATGGCAGATGTTACAGATAAAAAAACAAAAATCTAATAGATGGTATTTCGCTTCAAAAAGTATTCATCAGATACTTCAACAAAGGACGTAAGATAGAAAAGCCACAAATCGAACAACACATTACACATTCAGTATAGAGAGACATACATGTAGGTATATACTCAATACTAATAATATAATTAATTAAGTGTAGGACACGTGTTATAGTCGACATGCCTATTCAAATCTAAACTACTTAGCACTCCTGCACACATTTCAATAGTTTCTGCCAGATGCTCGTACATGTGTAAATAAAACACACTGAGCACAACGTCATCTTTAAATGATGTCGTAGTACAAGAAGACTTTGAAAAATTGCTTCTTTCACTATGAGATCTGTTGATATATTCCGCCGGACTAACAGCTACACTACTGTCAAGAAAGATTTCTTCAGACTCCTGTATAAGTTCATCTTTCTCATATGCTTCAGTTAACCGAGTTCTCTCATCATAAAACTTATCTATTAAATTACTAATCAGCAACTCTACTACCCGATGTTTTTGTTTTGGTAAATTATCTAAATTATCAGTCCAAGGTTTCAGTAATTCACAGTTTGCCTGTTTAAGAACATCATAATAGATCAGTCGTTCATCAAATTCTTTTGCAACAACAGCATCTCTCCAAGATCTTATTGACAAGTCCCACTCGTCCCCTGTCATTTCCGTAAAAAAATGTTTAAGGTTCTGCACTTTTGTTTGGTGGTAGTAATGGTGAGGATTTATTATTACGAATAAATCAGCTTCTAGGAAATAATCCTTGTAAGGATAAATTTCAGGCTTTGTGATTATTGTCTTAGTGATTACTTCTTGCAATATATTAAATACCATCAAATAATCTGCTTTTACGTTAATTTTTTCTTTTAAATCTTGTATATTTTTATTGAGTTTTTCTACATCCTCCACAGTTTCGCCAACAAGGTTGATGATTACTTTCTCATGTGACGATTTAAAAAAATCTACATTCAATATTTTGAGATCCCATGATTCTTCGTAAATACCAGGAGTGTTAGAAAAATACGTGAAGTTTATTTCTTTGACCTGACCAGGCGTAACCATGTCCTCGTTGCTTTTGAAGAAGAATTTCTGTTCACATAGATTGTGTGAAGAACTTGGTAAAACGGTAAAATTTTTAGTATCCAGTGATTTTTCGAAACAATATTTTATCCTAACGCTTCCTAGATTTTGTAAAATGAGTTTCCCTCTACCAATTTCTTTTACAGGGACGTTAAAGTAGTAAGTCCAAGTTAAAGCATTTTTATAGCAGCTTTTGTTTTCAAATTGCTCAAAAAATATTTGACTTTCCTGAGGCATACTATCAGTTTTGAAAATAGTATCATTAATTCTGAGAGAGTATATTCCTTCCATAGTTTCATTGTAAGGATCAGGTAGCTTATCACAATAGTCAATAGTTATTACAGGCAATCTTGCTAACTCGTTCTCGACGGTACTCGTTTCAATATCCTGCGGTGCACTACCAAGAACCATCAAGTCAGAAATATCCGGCCTAAAATGAGAACACCAATTTAATAGAACAAAGTATGTACTAACTAAACAAAATCAAACTAACTTAAAAACGAAAAAGATTATGTTGCTAAATTTTAAGCTCAAACTAGGTGTTCTAACCTCTGGCGCGACTACTTACACGCATTTAATTAAACTAAATAAAATTCAAGTTAAAATTCGTAAGATTAAATGCTACTAAGAATAGAATAGACTTACTTATGCAATTCAATTTTTTTTATATCTTCTTGTAACTCATGTTCACGAATTTTCTTAAACGTATTATAACCAGCGTTCAGTTTCGTAAAGGTGGGTCGTTTTGATGGGCCTGCGATTCCTTTTTCACTCTCCTGTATGACGTTTGGCACTTGAACATGTTCTATAAATTCAACTTCTCTCAATACAGCTTTACTTTTTTTTACTTCATAAACACCTTCACAACAACAACGTTCATGTAATCTATCTGGTAACTCCCAAAAAGCGTCTCCTGGTTTCGATTTCATTCGTGCATTATCTAATACATCATTTTGTTCTTTAATTTGTCTGAATTTATCATCTTGATTCATAATTAGATCTGCAGGAGATCTACCTGTACGAAATGTAAGTTTCTTTATTTCTTCCTTTCTTATTTTCATCCATTCCTCCCACATTAACAATTCGTGACTGGCTTGTACTGGGTCTATACGCAACTGGAGATCGCCTTTTGGTGCTCGGGACATGATTTTGTTATTTAATTAGGAAATATATTACTATCCCTCTTCCAAAATTTGTTTTCTAATTACTATATTTTAATGAAAGCAACAAATCTTCATTGTCTCGGGTGACTAGATTTCACCAAAATTTCTGAACTTTACTACTCCATGTCAAAAGTTGACAAATTCATTTTAAATTTTATCACGTGTCATGATAATACGTAAATAAACAAACAATAATTAAAAAAAAATAAAACTATTTGGAGCGAACATAAAATTATTAGTGTGATGAAGGAGAAACACTGAACTCGTGATTTATATTATTTTATATATATACATTGGTTTTAGGATCATAAATAATGCCAATACCTGTGCCTGTAATTGGTAAGAATAGTCATCATCATCATTCACGCATATACGTCCCATTGCTGTGTCTCCTCTAAAGACAAGATCGGCCTAGTCTACCGCGCTGGTATGTGAATCTTAAAAATTTTGTAAATCATCTCCGACGTGCATCTGTAGACTCACAAATCTATTATAACCAACATCATGATTTTTTTCCTTTAACATTGAAGCAGTGATTACAAAACTAAATATATGTACTGAAACTTTACACTTCATTGTTGTTCTATATACTTTTTACGTACTGTAAAGTCTGCAAACACAGTGTGGGGCATGTTTAAAGTTCTCAACATAACTATTTTGATTAGCTCTCCACGGGAAACGATTTTAAATATGTAGATAGAGTCAGCACTGCTGAACTACCAGCGTGATTTGTTGGATAATTTTATTCACTATTGCTTGATTATAATTTCGATTGGATGACTAAAACAAGGTAATAAGTGTATAAATAATTTTCTTCTTCGACATTATTACATACCAAATTTCATAATGTTTTAGTTGCGCGTCAAAGTGAAACAGACAAAATACATTCGTATAAGAGAGGACTTACAGGTCACGGGGCGAGCCTATTGTGCTTTTCGTAATTTGATGTTCGTTTCAATAATATTCGATTTGTGTGGCTATTTTTTTTTATACAAGGAAGCCTTTGCCTTGGTTTATTCAGAGTCCATGGGAAATGTACTGTCAAAATTGCACGATTTCTCTATTCCATTTTTTTCCAAATTTACAAGATTTTGAGCACGTGACGAAAGTACATTAAACTCAACTGTATTCGTTTCCAGATTGTCTAGTGAATATCGTCGAGTTTGATCAATAAATATCAAAAAAAGAAAACCAAACTTTAGAAACCGGAAAGGGATTTCTACTGAACTTTGTGCGGTCCACTTTACGTAAAAATTCTTGATAATGATAATCATGAATTTAATAGATAAATCATACAAATCTGTGTACGAATTTTGTAATTAAATAATTATGTGTACACCCAATGAAAGACTAACAAAAAATGTTAATTAATTTTCTGGGTTCAACATATCGTACGGTACTTTAGGTTGTGATTAAGCATTATTGTTAAACAAGAAACTTCCTGTCGATCGCAGAGGATGAAGAAGTAGAAGCACCACCCCCACCACCACCAAAGGAAATTCCGCCGTATGGAACAAAAGAATGGATTCAATATGTCAGCGAGATAGATGGACACCTCCCGACCCCAATACCTGTGTCTATCACCGGCTCAGAAAAATACTCCTGTCCACCTCTCCAATGGTACAATTTCGATGTTTATCCGCACAAAGTTAAACTCACTAACACTGGTTTTACAGGTAAGTAGTGTTAAATATTTCTTAAAAAACACAAATAAACTTCAATTTGTAAGTAGGTAATACGAACATACTGCTACAAGTTCAGGTTTTTATATAAAATAAATTACATATACCTAAATTAAATTATTAATCAATATTTGTGTACAGAATGTAGTACTTATTGTAAATTTTATATATTTTATTTGTAGCATTAATCGGAGCTAAATGGAGAACGGAGCGCCCTTACATTGAAGGCGGGCCGTTTTTGGAGAAACATGTTTTCTCCCAAATACACTTTCATTGGGGAGCCAACCTGATGGAAGGAAGCGATCACATCGTAGACAATAGGAAACATCCTGGAGAGATGCATGTTTGTTCTAATGAATTAACTCTTTCGACCGATAAGCCCGACTTTAAATATAATTAATAATTGTGTCTTTGTAGGTCAGTGCCTGTACAAATTTTATATGCGGCTATTAACAGAAACGCTCAGTACAATAGCATGTCAGTTTTCGCTATGTACAAGCACCCCATGCCTAAACCAGGGCTCCATCACTCGCTCAGAGTTAGGCGATAAGTGCCTTTTTTTTTTACTGCGGGTAATCTTTATAGATACCCCTGACTCAGGGGAGACTCAGGGGTTATGTGGGGACTCTCCCTCCAGACTGGAGGGCCTACCCCACTAAAACCTACCCGGGTTTCCCTCTCGCCGGTTGAGTCGGCGCCGTGGGATCAGTGAACATTCACCACGACGCCGCCCGGCCGCCCCAGCTTACGCCAGGGCTCCCGCGCCCACGGAGGGCCGAGTCGGTTGTCCTCCGACCCGCCCCCGCAGGCTCCGTAGTCCCTGTCCAGAGCCCGCTGGTCTCACTAGGGGAGGCGATAAATGCCTGCCGCTGAGTACTCCGACGTCGGCGCAAGCGCTCATACAAGTAGTCTTCATTTACGAGCATTCGGCTCCACACGACTGTACACGGCGGGCAAAATGATTTTCGCCTCTCTGTGCGCGTGCTTAGGTTCCTTTTTCCTCGTAGTGAGTGCCTGGTGTCATTATATCAGATCTAGTAGGCTATGACAGCGTAGGTATTTTCGATTTTGTATGAGAGTGATGTATCTGCTATGTAAACACAAACAATAAAAACGTCTACTATTTGATATTATTTTTAAACACTGAGCGACTGGATCATATCTATAAATCAATGGCGCACGTGGCGACTCGCGCTATGCAATGCGAATGCACCGCGAGATTGTGCAAATGTGTGCGTCCGTACACGACGCCCGGCAGCCTGTACACACGTACAAGACTCGCTGTTACGTTTGTATGGAGTTATCATATTTGTCTTATTATACTGGGTCAATATTGTCACTACACGAAAAAATCTTTCTGGAGACGATCTTTAAAGTTTCATTGAAAACGCGAGATTTTCGTATAGTGACTTCATGAATCTTTTCTCTTTTTACGTATATTACTCATAACTATAAGATATAAAATGAAACTATTTTTCCGGATTTAAATCGCGTATATTTATTTTTTCAAACAAACCAACGTTTCGGGCCCTATACAGGTCCAATAGTCCGATCCCATTAAAATCCGGAAAAATAGTTTCATTTCCTATACACATAGGAACAATCGCGAAAACCTAAGAACTCGATATATAAGATATGAGTTTGAGTACTTGAAGCGCAGATTTAAAGTGCTCCTAAACCCGTGTCTGCTTTGTAACATTAAAGATGGGGTAGTGCTTCTATTTCATGAACACTCAGGGTGTTATTTACGCTAACAAAGGGAACGTAAAAAATAATAAATTAATAAATATAAAAAAAAATTCTTGAGTCTAAAATATTTGGCTTATTTTTTTTATGTTTGTGTAACTGTACAGTCACATCAAGCAGACATTTTGGGCTTTCGACCGTTCTTGTCGTAAAACGGCTTAGACGTGAATTTCAATTTGAAGTGTCAACCATGCCGTTCTCTTGACCCAGTACTAAGGAATATGAGTAAAAGGCCGGTGCTTTAGACACAGACTACTGTCTGTTATAAATACCCTTAATTAGATCACCGAGTGATCATGTGCAATTCTACATTTCGATAGTCCGGTTCTTCAGAAGTTAAAATAGCGTAATGATTTTCAGGTAACATTCTTCAGGTCAGAATATTTAACGCAAGAAGAAGCTTTCCAACATCCAGATGGCGTCGCCATATTTTGTTATTTGATCACGGTAAGCTATCATATTACTCCAACCTACTTTACTACAAAATAGGTAAAACAAACAGTTTAGATAAAAGATTTATTTTAACTTATGCTTTAAAAAAGTAGAATAAGGTTTGATATTATTAATTAAAATAGGATTAATGGACTGTAATTTTTGACTCTGAACCGGTGGCGCTTATATTGTTTTTTGGTATTAATGTTTATCAATAGAAGAAATTACCTACATTATAATTACACATCTACTACTTAATTTGTCTTATATTCTTTCTATCGATATGCGTTTATCATGATTATATGTACCTATTCTTAACTAGCTTTGAAAACAACAGAATAATAGCTCCGAGCAATGTAACTATTCATCTATTACTAATGTATTAAATGAACTGTTCGTTGTGATGTTGTGACTATTGTTAATTTTTCTACTCAATGCTAAATCAAAATGTGAATTATTTAATGGCTTTAAGTGCAATTAGAAAAATCAACGTGGTTGTAAAAAATATTTTTATATTGTTGGCGACACCAAAAAGTAAGTAATTTAAGAATACATATTTGTGGCAACACCATTACGCTATTAGCTATGCAATAACTATTCTTACTTTTGTGAGATTCTGCTCTAATACAAAGGTGCGAAAAAAGAACGTATTTCATTTACCCTGAAATCCAATTACACCACCAGTCCATGTCGATAAGTAATACCTACAAAAAAACACGTATACACTTATGTCTCTATAAATGTCTTTATAAAGTACAATTGTGTGAAGATTGAATTTAAAAATATCTCTAAGAAATGGTACACAAAGGCATTCGTTTTCTGAGAGCAATATTGACATAAAGAATTTCTGTAAGTATAGACCTACATTCTGGCAAGACTTTAAATGATAAAGCAAAAATTAAAACCAGTAACCTACTCGTAGTTAGTAAGTGTACGTAGTCATTTGCCTGTCAGGTATAAAAAAAAAAAAAAAAAAAAAAAAACTGTAAAGAGTGAAATTGAACAGTGATTTTCATTAATTATTTAGTACAATATTATTAAGTATTTATAGGTTTATTGTAAATAATTATGTACTTAAAAGTTTATTAGTTAATTCTATTAAGTGTCACTACATAGATGACTGGTTGGTTATGAGTGGTTTGAACATTTTATCGTCGGTTCCACTAGCCAAAGAAATTGCTTTTAAATACCCTACCTATTAAGGTAATAATAGCTAGTTTTAAAACAGTGTTAAGTTGTGCGTGTTCGTGCGAAGAACTGTAAAAGGCATTTGTTGAAAGGAATTTGTGTAAAAAGCATTTGGATCTTCTTCTTCTTATTGTATGACATAATATGGTAATGCTTACAATCTTAGTGAAAAAGGATTTGCCAATCCGCGTAAAGAACTCGCCGATTATTGCCCAAGGTGCGCCAGACGTACCTACAAGAAAGGAATTGTACAGGGTCAAGAGCACGTCAAGCACGCCAAGCAGGCTCCCTTCGTGCACCTTAATTTTGAGATTATAATTATTAATTGATGGACTGATGGATGGATGGACGTTAGGTTGATATAAATAAATTACAAGTAATACGGCGTTTTATTGAAGAGTTTGGAGTAAAATTTGTTGGGATCACTCTAGCCATGCTAGCCAATATAGAGAAAAGGGATCGTGCACCGTATCTGTCGTTTCATTGCTAGCTTTATCTACTCCACAGGCGATGATTTGGACTTACCCACTCTATTATAAAGCATTCAAATGTCGAGTTTTATCGGAAATATTAATAATTATGTTTCGTCATACTACGCAAGATTAGCATTTTTGACGAACATTAGAGCTATTAACTAAATTAAACTAAACGCTATTGCTGATAACAGAAAGTGTCCGTTACGTAGTGAATCCAATAAATTATCTTTTTTCTCTCTTTCTTCTTGAATTTTATCAACTTGCGAAAAATCTCGTGCATCTAAAGAAATTAAAGTAGGTCAAGTACGTAAATTTAGTCGGGGAATTTAAAAAGCATTTCTCCCAGAAGAGGTGCATGTTTGCCCACTGGGAGAAATTCTTCGAGGCGAGAAAAGCGTCAAGAAGTGGGTAGACCGCATCAGAGAACTTGCAAATGCACAGTGATTTGCTGTATATCTACTTCAAATTTCCTTTTAGATATTATAGATACCCAATATACAAAACGAGTATTCAATTTGACGTGAAAATTGTACGGAAAGTTAATGATATCGTTATGTAGAATCGCTCAGTCAAATTTCGCAACACTGTGTATAATAATTAAAAATGTTATGAATTACGTATTATTACGCAAGTGCTCGATAATAATCGAATGAGGCGAGAGACAGCCCAGTGAGGTGTGCTCTCTTTTTGGCTAGTGTTAATCTACAAAAAGTTTTTGAGTAAGTAGTCAAAGTAGAAACTGTGGTTCAAAGAACAACACAACTTAAGCGCTTGTCTTGCTACCCTGAAAGCAAAAACGAATTTCCTAAAATCTTATATAAATTATTTCTTTTCAGCATGGTTTAGAACCCGATCCACGTCTAGAATGGGTCATAGAAGGATTCAAAAGAGTTCAAGAATCGAAAAATTACACTCGTATCGGACCACGACCAATGTCCAAATTAATTCCGATGTTTTTTGAAGATTACTTCTTGTACTGGGGCACATTGCACACTACAAAGGGTAAAGACTTTGTCTGTAGATGGATTATTCCGAGATGTGTTCTATCGGCTGATGAAGATCAGGTACATATACAGTATTGCTTTTTTTGTACTGTACTTTTGGAAGTTTAACTCACAAAATGACGACGACGCCAACTGGCTATAGTAGTACATTATCCTTCTTGTGAAAAGCGTCTTTTGGCATGACTACAGATAAATTATGAGGAGCGAGGTCGAAAATGGTGAAATAGTTGGTTCCAGTGTCAATTTAACCTAGTTTAAAAAATGAGTGTCTTTAAGACCACCTTAGCATACAGAATCAATAATATTATTACAATTATTATTAGTATTGTTATTGTCGTTTTCGTTGTCGTTGTGGTTGTCGTTGTTGTTGTTGTTGTTGTTATTGTTGTTATTATTATTATTATTACAATTTTATTCTTTGCAACTAATTCACGACACCCGACACGACTTATTTATCAAACTTTGATTCTTGATTATGGTCACGTATGTTATACCAACCAACAATTACAGATAAAGACAACTGGATTTTCGATTTCTTATCTCTACTTCTAAGTATATTTTCCAGATGAAACAATTTCATAAACTCTGGGATCCTTATGATGAACCAATTGTAAGAAACTTCAGGCCCCTGCAAGCTAAAGAAGAGAGAACCGTTTTCTTCATCTCTCCGCATTGGAGTCAATACAACTCCCTCCTACCTTTACCAAAATCCTTACCAGAGACTTCGATATCTATTTTATCACAAGAATATGCAACGAAGCCGTGGATGTTACCACCGCAGAATGCGTATATGATGTCTGAGCAAACGAAAAAAGATGATGATGCTAAAGCACAGAGAACAAGTGATGAAAAGCAAATGATCACAGATTCAAGTGATAAATAATGGTGCAAAGGCGTAATAATAAAAATAATGCGAATAGGACACCTTACTCATTTACTTAGGTACTACACCACCATTTTAAAACCATATCTGTTACTACTAGAGGATGTTTTGGCATGCTTTCGGAATTCATTTAATTTAGTTCGAAATTTAATAGCAGTAGATCTCCTTGTGAAAGAGTTTGTCCAGGGTAGTACTGCCACCTTACCTATTTCTGCCGTCAAGCAACAATATCAGCATTACTGTGTTCCGGTTTTGAAGGTGGCTGGTGAAATTCTGTAATGACACTTGTCAACTTACGTCTCAGAGTGGCGGGCGCAGTGGCAGTAGGTACCCCTCAGATCTTAGCAATTTAAAGCTCTGAGTGGCACATAACTATTATGGACAGACGTGTAGCTTACCATCAGGCGCACAACTTGATCGTCCCATCACTTGATGTTATAAAAAGAAATAAAAAAATTTATAAAAAATTCCGTTACTTCCGACAAAAAAGAATAAACGATTCAACAATAATTATTGGTGCCAAAAAACTAAAGGTATTATTTGGAATTTTTATCGAAAATAATAGGTCTGTAATGACTGATCTGTAAGGAAGCTTAAAATGATGTCAAGTAATGTAGTACAGGTAAGCCATTCATTTTACTGCCGAATATACTATTATTTTTAAAGCCGGTATATTGAAAAGTCGTTCTACACAAATTTTATGCACTTTAGCAGATATTGAAGATATATATTATTACTGATACTGGCTTTTTTTTACCAAACCACGCTATTTTATACATTAATTTCTTCAGCGCACTGATATAAAAATTTTATATTTGTGCGAAGCTACTAACAGAATTTAAAAGTAAATTTAAAGGCAAATAACTTCTGAGTGCTACGCCCGCTACGAAAGGAGAACTTTGCATAATAACAATACAATTCTTCGGTGTTGCAAATATCAAAGACATCTTGCAATTGCATTTCCACTTTCAGTACGTGTCAATTTCAAGTTTGTAGATATGGCTGACTACGTTTCATATCCAATGTGTAGCTATCGCGAAAACCTAAGAATTCGATATTGAGTCGAATTTCGAAGTACTAGAGAGTTAATAATTTAAATAAAATCTGCTTTATTATCACGCCACAAGATGTTGATTAGTTGTTGTAATAAGCAAAAAAATCTTCATAAACTGTACTTCATAAACGATACATTGCTAGACCCCGACTTTTTTAATTTTATTTATTCATTTAATTCAGGCCACATGACCCATATAAAATATTTCTTATTGACCAACATACATACAATATAATGTAAACACTAATTGCACTTGTCGGCGAAGTGTGGCGCAATCTGGTGTCAGGTAACCGGCCGCGGAATCGCCGATATATAATACCCTTCAGCCAAAACTCACCCTTCATGAAGGTCGACAGACGTTGAGTCGGCAATATCACTAAAAACGAAATAAAATTCACATTATAGTGGGATTCCAAACGTTCGACCCTCAGGGTGTATTTGATTTTTAACGTTGAAAAGGTTGTAAAACGCCAATAGGGAGCAATAATAATAAATTATTTACTCGGTCTACATGAATTTATTGTATAAAGTAAAGGTGAAGAAAGAAAAAAGGCTGTGACAATAAAAATAGTGTAAAAAAAAGGTACAATATTAAAAAACACACCCTTACTTAAATATTACAAAACTTATCCGAACGGGCCGTATTTTAGAAATATTAGTTACGTTACTCGATTTTGAAGATATTAGATAGGTTACATGATTTAAATTGGAAACTGGTAAACGGATGAAAACTAGTCGTGAAGACGAGCAGGAGTGCTCGCTTCAGACATTAAGTAGAGAATGACGACGAAACAAAGTGAGAATGAGGAGGCAAAGGAATTAAAGGACGATTCAAAATTTGAAAATAAGTGGCCAGGAACCAGAGCAAAGGTGATAAAAAGGCGGGATGACGATGGAGGAAGTCGCATCGTCACAATGTGATATACTCCACTATCTCCTCTGACCTCGTGTAGTAATATAGACAATTAGGTACTCTGATTTTGCATAACAATAAAACTGAAATAGATAAGATATAAAAACCGCATATTGAAGACCGCACGTTGAAGAAGGTTCATAACCCACGGAAAACGTGTGAAGTCCCCAACCCGCATTGGATCAGGGTGGCGGACTATAACCGAAACCCTCGGCTAAGTAAAAACTCGTGCCCAGCAGTGGGGCGTAAAAAGTGGTTGATGATGATGTGATTGTTGAGGAATATAATATGTCACAGTAATTGTGATTGATATTGGATTTGAATTATATTTATTAGTCATGTTACAAAATACGCAAGTATTTTAAACTATTCAGTTTCGATGGTATTTGCAATATTATTAGCGCTTTCTACTGTTTGGGAAACGTACTACGTCATCAACCCATTTATAGGTTCCACTGCTGGGCACGGTTCTCCATTCAGGCGATGGTTTAAGCCATAGTCCGCCACGCGCTGGTCCAATGCAGGTTGGGGATTTCACGCGTTTTCCGGGAATTGTTAATCTTTCTTCGACGCACACGTTTCATCTCATTCTCTTCATCGAAAAGCTTAAGATAAATTTCAAATTAAGATTTACACACAAATTCCGAAAAACTCAGAGGTGCGAGTTCGAGTCCGGGTTCGAACTCACGGTTACTGCTTGAGAGGCAGCAAGTCACAAACCATTAGACTCCCACGGCACAGGAAACGTATTTACTTACGTATTTATGCACACGGTGCACTTTATTTAAAATAGATAATTTAATTATTAACTTCACGATAGTCCTTCACCAACAGACTACCGAAATACTACTGAAGCAAAGATTTCTATCATTATTACCATTAAATGTTTTGACTTTTTGATAATCTGTCGCGTGCTACACTGAAACACAGATTACTTAATAGTTACTACGTTGCGGCTGCTTCGGAGGGACCTAAGGTAGACATTGTACCCGACTTCTCGGAAGTGATTGCAAACTAGGTATAAGAGCTAGTTCCATTCTCGTTATTATATTAGTAAATAAAATAGGGCTGTTCACATTAAAACAGCATTTTTGTGAAATTCAGTGATTTAGATATGGGATTATAGGCACAGGACTTGTCAACTTGTCTCAAGGTGACGAGCGCAAGGGGGTAGTGCCCCTCAGATCTTTGTAATTTAAAGCTCTTAGTGACACTGCAACAGTTATAGACAGGCGTATCTCTTACCACTAAGAGCGCGGCTTGTTCGTCCCGTCATTTTGTATCATAAAAAAAAAATTATAAAAGGACGAACTTTCTTGTTGTTATGTGTTGGTTTATTTTGTTTACTTTTTAAAATAAAATAAAGTGTATTTTTAATACTTTTATTTGGTAAAGCATGAACATGATACAAAAAGTGATTATGTACTAGCGGCACTGACGTAAGGCACTTGCTTTACTACGTTGTACTTTATCATTACACAATACGCTTCTAAAAATTAACTGCTCTCAATACATAACGTAGTACATAATAACTTTATCGCGCTATGATTTTTTGTCTACAAATATTTATTAATTCACTCTTTTTTTATATATTTCTACTTTTTTCTCTTATTTTATCTAAAACCTACACATAGAAGTTTGTTATCGTATCACTGTCTGGAGTTCGACATACATAATGCAAAACTGTGTTTTAAAAGGAATGTCTTCAAAATACTATAAGAATTATCATTATTGTATAAAATACTGTTGTAATTATATTGATATAAGCTTTCACCAGTCTTTATTTGATAATAGGAATGTATATAAATACTTTTAGAGTTGTCATCACAATTCATTAGCTCAATTTTTTTTTATAACAGAGGCAAGTCTTCTACAAATTAAAACGTTAACAATTTATAGTTTTAATTTTCATGATCGTGAACACGTTGACCGCCCAATGTACCGAAGTAGTTACTTCGAACTCTCAGATGTGTTCGTTCCGCCATCTAGTGGGAAATCGAACATCAAAAACAACTTAATATTTTCAAGAGCCCATACAGCAGAATACAAAATGTAATTAAATAATTGACGATCGCCTCAGTATTAGTATAGAAGAAACTCCGGATTTTTAGTGTATCAGTATTATTGTAACAAAGTTCAGCGTAATGCATTAAATAAGAAGTAATTAAATCTAAGTGTATAAAAATCATAATTATCTTTAAAACATAGTAACTTCATAAGCAAAAAAACGTAAACAACTCCATTTTTGTTAGCAATAAATCAATCACAGTTAATTTTTTTCTCCATACTTTTTTAAAATAAATATAAAAGTTGCTAAAAGTGAATATCCATTAAATAAACTCGTTACCTTACAATGTTGTTACTATTTCTACTATTTATAGAGTGCTGTATAGATTATAGGTAGGAACATTGTTAACCTAACGGCATCTTGGCATCTTTTTATAGAGCCAATACCTTATGTGTTGCAAAGGCGTCGTCACGTTCATTAGTCACTTCATGCGATAGAAGTTACAAAATGCCATAAGGTAATAAATAATGTGCTTACCCCTAGTTACATAATATTAAAATTACAATTTGTAAAAAGACAAAGAGATCGAAAAAGTTAAAAAATTTCGATGAATAAATATTCTATAAAATGTTAGATATGCCGTTTCTAACCTACATGATGAGCGACAGAGATGTAATCATGGGAAGGAATTGTGATCTAGTATAATATCATATATTGGCCTTTTCTCTGGCCTGTCATGGTATAGTATCGTGGCCCGATCCTGTGTTGTCGACAAAACTGTCGCATCGCATTACTAGTTCGTGTAATGCTGGAAGACGATTTTAGACAGTCGTAGTGACGCGTGTCGCCGATTCAACCAGCCCCGCCGCAGCGTATAATAACCGCCTTCTTGGACCAATAACTCAACAAATCAACTAGATGGCGCTTATTTCAGATTGTTGAGGATTAGCGCCACCTACACATATTAGCAAGCATTAATTTATAAATTAGTTTGTAACACACAATGCCATCTATTGGTACATTCATCAAAGACCAGATCAGAGAAGAAACGTCCATATATTTCTCAAAGATCAGAAAATAATTTTAACTCATGGTCAATATTTGAACAATATCGTACAAAGAAAAAAACTGACTCCTTATATTTCATATAAAAGGGGAATTAAACTCCTTATATTTCATATAAAAGGGGAATTAAACTATATCCACGGCCATTTACTTCATAAAAACTACTTCCAAACTTCCAGACTAATGATCGATGCCATCTACATATATAAAACGAAAACCTTTTTCAAAGTTACGATCTGTAGTACCTACGCAGATTGGCTGTCCTTTTGAGTTATTGGTCCTTGGAAGTATGTAGTTTTTTTGTAGGCAGCAAATAATCACGTACCGATTAAATCTAGGGAATACCCTGTATTACACAAAACTGAGGAATATGTTGAATTAATTCCGAAATATCGTGTACTCAATGTTTAATCCCTGAGGTAGTCGAATGTCTCAAATTTCAGCGTCGATTGTGTGGAAATGAATCTAAAGTTAAAGCGCAAGTGCTCATTTATATCACACTGAACAGAGCAGTGCGGTAGATTATGATATTTATACCTAGACACAAGAGCAAGGCCTAGTAATACCAAAACGAATTAAATACTTTCTGAAACGATAAACTGTCCGATAGTGAATGGCATCTTTTGATTCTCATATTATTAAATCTCTGTCTCTCATTCTCTCTCTATCAACCTCCATGCAAACTGTTGATTTTATCTTAATTACAATCTTTACTTATGTAATTTGTAGTTATTTAATTAATTTACATAATATATTGCACTAATACACCTAAAAACGTCGAAGGCACGTTGAAAGCACTAAGATGCGTTATTGTGTCTGTGTTCTTGTTGTAGTCCTAGGAATATTCATATCTGTAACAGATTAATCAAAGTTGTTAATAAAACAATTAAACTAGTGTAAGTTGCGGTGCGGTGGCAATGCTTTCGCTTTTATTTCACGCTGTCATTCTGCACAAATTTTGCAGTAAAAACCACCAACTTTGAAGCAATCTCATTTATATTATTTTAGAAAACTTGAATTACTACTGGCGGATAGGCAGTGGCGAATTTAGTGTGCACTTGACACCACAGAGACCACGGCGTATCGCGGTTTCGCTGAAATTGTTTATTACGTAAAATAATACTTGTTACCTAGCGCTTGCGCAGCTCAGACGACACGTACGGCGCGCCGCCGTGACTGGCCCATTCGTGCTCGAATTCGTGTTCGAGGATCTCAGCGCCGCGCTTACGCGTTAGCCCGGTTTCATCCAGGCTCAGCTCGCACATTTGCATGTCGTCGACTCCTAAAACGATATTATATTATTTCATAACATTATAATTTGTCATTTAAAAGTACTAGTTCCTTAAAGTGTAATTTTATGAGGGATCATATTTTAAATGTTCAAAATTATTGTACTTGTGTTCCAAACAAAAGTGCATTACACTTAATTACAAGCAAAGCAGCACAGCAATTAAAACATACCCGCGGATTAAAGGAAGGTATTTTGGGCGACAGACGACAGTCGATATTAAAAATTGACTTATTAGTGTCCATGGTATCGGCACTCACCAGATTGCAGCAGCACCGGCGTCTTGTCGGGATGCAGCTCCATCTGGCGTGCCACGTACTGTCCATCGAAATGTGCGTACCACCAACCACGGCGGTCCGGCGAGTCAGTCGCGCCGCCGGTCGCTGAGGGTCGCACGAATGGGATGCGGAAGTACCGGTGGCGAGCGCCGAGGATCTCGCTCTTTTGAGTCACGCGAGGAGTTTTTGCTGGAATTGATACTATTGTTAATCGAGGCTATTAGCGCAAAAGTGGTCTAACCCATATTTCGATCGTACCTATATGGCGATGTATTGGATGCTATTTTCAGGTATAAAAAATTAATAATGAAATACGTATATTTTAAACATGAAAATGGATTAAAAATATGAAATAATTATGTACTTTAGTATCATTTAAAGTAATATTGTAGAAAAAGAATTAAATGTGGCTTACACCACTTTTGCGCTGATAGCGTCAATTCTGATCGGCCTATCGGAATTGGGTGGAATAGGATGCAGTTTTTATAAAAAGAAACTGTTTTCTTGATGTATTGATCAATCAATAATGAGCTAAGCCGCTAGATAAATAGAGTTGAAAAACTGCTTGGGATTGCCGCAACGTTCGCCTGTAGAATTACAGTGATAAGAACTGCGGCGGCAACTTTCTCAAGACCCCTGCTTAACAATCTACATTGATAAGTAAAGTTTTTTACGTAATCGAGTAGGTACGTGTGAGTAATGTTTTTACATAATCGATAAATGTATTAATTACCAGCATCCATAATAGACTGCGGTGCACGCTCCTGGTCAGCCATTGTAGTTTTGCGCGCATTCTTGGCCTTCCACGCGTGGTAGACCTTCAGCCTTCGGTGGAACTCGTGACGGCATGCCTAATATACAAGTTAACATTGGAAAATATGCACTAATTACGACTTATTGCAAAAACTAATCGTCTGGAAGCCTACATTAGCGGCTGTGTTACGTTTCAGTGGTTTATAACACTAAAATGTGAAAAGGCTGTGCACCACTAATGTGCCGTGACTAGGATCACGGCAATAAAATAGGATACTTCGGTCCACAAAAATTTATTCCATAGTTACTATTTTTCTATGTTCTATAGTTAACAAGAAAAGGTATACTAAATACTAGACGTGAGGCAGACTTACCCTGAAAGAGCCGAGTTATACAGAATTTCAGATTGGTATTAACATTAAAATTGGCACATGATTTAGGTTCAGAACTGGTAAAAGGATCAAAATTAGACCTAATTAAAAATTACAGCCGAACTGACGCTACAGCGATTGAGCTGGGGGTTACGACGGGACGAAACAAAATGAGAATGGTGAGGCAAAGGAATTAAAGAACGATTCAAAATTTGAAAACGTGTGGCCAAGAACCAGAGAAAAGGCGATAAAAAAGGTGGAATTACGATGTAAGGCGGTCACGTCGTCACAAATGGACCTGGCGACATTGGTATCATTTTAACTTATCAGGGGACATATTGCAAGATTACATTACTAATGTCATAAACAACAACTTTCATTCCATGGTTTTTTAATATTTCATCAGATTTTAGTTTCGTACAAATACACATTTTTTTAAATAGATCGCTCGAAACTGTGATAACTCTGTGCTTGCACGTCTAAATTTACTACCAAATACAGATCTAAAAAGTGTCAGATAGTACAACAAAAACTTAACTTTCGTTTTCGTAATTCGCACCCGCACAGAAGAATGGCATAAGTGGAGTTACAAAAACGTTTATTGCTTAACAAATAACCCCGTCTAACTTCAAAGCTTGGGAATGGGTGTTGGAAATTGACAGTTGTAACTTGAGATACAGACTACTCTGTATCTCAAGTTACATCTCCGTTGGCCTTTTTTGGCAAATTCTTCCGTCTTACCTCAAGCAGTTCAATATCACAGGACGTATTGATAGTGTCGCGGAGTTCTGAATACTTCCACTTGGACAGGTCGTACTTCTGTTTGCCTTGCATCGCCTGTTGCATTCTAACACGTTCCGACCTACAAATATACTTATTTACTTAGCAAAATATCTGGAAATTCTTACTTTCGAACCGACTAATCTACGATATACTGTGTCAGTACGGTGAAGCTCCTTACTATAATGTTAGTAAAGACTAGTCTCAAGTTTTTTTTAATGATTACAGTATCAATCGTTCATAATTGTCGTGCATTTAAAAATTTCTAAAAAAAAATATTTTTTTCATTTTCGAATTGTGGACAGATATGACAATCTGTAATAGGTTGTCCCATACACCTCGTATAAACATAATTTTAGTACACATAATAGAAAGTGGAAAAAATAACAAGTTGTTACTCATTACGACCAATAAACCTCTATTTAGTAAAACAATTGTGCAGAAAGAATCAAGCGTTAGTTCATTAGCGGAATTAGTATAGAATTGTCCTCTTTCAATACTACTCATAAGACTTGCAGAGCTACTTTACTCCAAAAATAATTCTTATTCATGTGTAATTAGCATCAGAATGAAGCGTGGAACTTAGTATCTATGTCTAAAGTGGTATTTTTTATCTATACGTAAACATTGTTCAAAATGTCTGCAATTTGACAAAAACCTACATTAAGTTAATGAACTGCAGTCATTTAGATTCAAATTGAAAATAGTTCTTAAGTGCGCCTTTGAACCTGACTGTGCATAATCCTATAACCAACGTGGTATGTAAATAATATGACTACTAATGACTATAAAAATCTTAATGTAGGGTCGTGTCGTCAAAAAGATTTATTCAGTTGGTCTGCGTTGTAACGGCCAATGTGCAGTTCGGAAGCAGTTTCGATGGTTGTAAGCAAGCGCAACAGCGTTACAACTGCCATCAGCATCTTATATCAGCAAACTGCAATGGAACTACGCAGAAACTACACATTTGCAGTTGGAAGGCAGTCAACCCGCATGCAGCATACATTCGAAAGTGGCAGTGTCGTAGTGATCATCTACTCAGTGTTTTCCATTTTAATACAGCAAAACAAAATATTCAATCAAATAATAGCAATATTCAATAAAAGCAAATCGGTCGTTAGTGAGTGAATGAATGAATGCCATCACTGCCATACCACTGACTCTCTATTGAGACTAGAGACGCGAAAAACTGCTTATTTTTTTAAACGTTTAAACGTTATGCTTTTTTTAAAAAAGCGTGCTTTTTTAAACGCTTTTTCACATAAACGCTTTTTAGTTTGAAGCTAACAAAATCGTTTAGAAAACGTTTAAGTGCATAGACTTTTATGTTAAAAAAGTTTGCAACTTTGTTGTGTTGACAGCGAAACGCAAAGTAGACCACTAAAGGTTTTAAGATAAGTAAGCTTTTTTGTAAAAAACGAGTTATATTTTATAACATTACTATATTAACATTTTGTTCATTGGCGTTTAAAAACGTTTGAAAACATACGGTGTTTAACTTTTGTAGTTGTTAACCGTTGAAATAGAAAAAACTGCTTATTTTTTAACGTCCTCTAATTGAGACCCAACTACCATTGCATGGTAGGTCAATGGCATGGTTGCAACTAGGTTTTAGCAAAATAACAAATATTGCCATTATTCTAATAATAAAGAAAGAAGAAAAATAAAGTTTATACAGCTTAAGAAAATTGAAATAAAACCGATAAAACAAATTAATGATTAATGATATAAGCTGAAACAATCTGGATAATATAATCTGAAGACACGTGGTTTCAAGAAAATTAGTAGAATTGGGGCCCTATTATCAAAAGTGCACTTGGCTTTAAAATTATAATAATAATAATAACGCACACACTCAATATAGCCCCGCACTAGGGAAACCCTGTGTCGCGGGTGCCATGGACACATACATAGACAAACACAACTTACACCCAAACTCACGAGAGAAGTAAATGTAGGCCATACAAATATTTCTCCCGGCCCGGGAATCGAACCTAGGACCTCTGCGCGGCAGTCCGGCATGGTAACCGTTCGGCCACGGAGGCAATTATTTGTATTGTATGCTACTCTACACAACACTCACAAGTACCACAGATTGGGGTACCTCAGGTATAAAGGTAAACGTCCAAGTATTTCCTCAATGCCGTTTATTGAGGCACCAGTAACACACCAATTACATAATATTATTACTCACTAACTATTGACGTCCTACATGTTCTTTCGTCACTCCTCGACTGTGCCGAACACCCGATTTCCGATCCGCACCTCTCCACCTTAGTGGGATTTCTAATTTCTCAAAGTGGGGCAATCAGTACTTTTAGTTTGGTAAAAAAGTTTAAACTTATCTAATAAGGTTTTATTATTACTAGTCACACAAAGCTAAGAATCCTATGAACATAAACTTCTTAGAACAAAAGCAAAAAGTTGACAATCTACAGAAAGAGATGTGACATTTAATTGATATCGACATTATGATTCATAACTAGCGGAATATTGAATATATATAGGCATTGCTTTATACTTGCTATAATTAGGGTTAACCATGGAGTATATGGAAACGGCATTTAAAGCAATTTCTTCGAGAACTAGGGTAGCTGACTTTTACACGCACACGTTTGTAACTAAAATACGCATAAGGTTTTAGTACACGCAAATA